TGCTTCTTCCACTATTGCCTGGAGGAGGCCCCTGGGAGAGGCTCATTGCCAGATCCAGCCTTCCCATTTGATATCAGCTTGTGGTATCCTACATCCCAACAGGCCAGGATGTGTGCAGATGGGTCTACCCAGTGGTGGTCATACTTCAGGACACCTATTAGGCACAAAGTGGGCACCAGTGAGCACCAGTCTTAGGTCATGCAGTCACAATCTTCCTTGCATTCAACAGGATTTGATGAGAGCAGTCTGGTTGTCGTAAAGAGGAACTGTGGAATCAGACTGCTGGAACCACTCTGCTTGGCCACTTTGAACTCTTGGTTAGTTACTTAACCCCACTGTGCCTCATTTTCCTCATCTGTATATGGTAGTAATGACAACTCCCTTGTAGGATTATTGTGAAGGTGAAATGAATTCAGGTCAAGTGCTTAGACCAGAACCTGGCCCTCATTAGGTACTCTGCCAGCATTAGGACTGTGGGGTGATGGAAAATGTTGATGTCATCTCCCTTGTGGTCTTAAAAAAGATGACTGAAGGGTGATTCTCAGTGCCAGTGGGGTTGAATAGGGGAAAAATCATGCCTGCTGATACTTCCTGTGCTTCATCAGTGACAGACATCACTAATCAATCCCAGAGCTTTTCCTACTGAGTGACCTGAGAGTCATGCTTGGGCATCCTCTCCCAGTTGTCTGGTGTTGGCATGCATAGTATGAAGCTGGCTCGAAGCAATGGTGATTGAATAGGCAATCTGGAAAATTGGGGCTTACTTCCTTTGATGGTAGACTTACCTGTGGATTTATGGAACTTATCTTTTAATCCCTTCAATAGGAAATGTGTGCCTTCTATAGCTAATATATAAGTTAAAGTAAAAATCTTGGCTGCAGTTCTAAAGGAGCAAGCTCAAAGAACAAAAGGAACACAAAGTCTGAGCAATTTATTCCACCAAGGTGATCAATGAATAGAAAACTCACCATGCAGTGAAGTAGGAAGAAGGCTGGATGGATGGAATGTATTAGGAACCCTAAGAATTGTAAAGGCTAATCCTTCCCCATCGTCCTTGATGGATGACTGAGTGGGCTAGGCTTGATCACCTCTTATGATGGAGAACTCATTACCTCTCAATGCTGTGCCACTGTAGGGTAGTCAAAATTGATGGTCTTGTGGGAGGAGGCCCTGTGCAGTAGTGGGGGCTTAGCTGTCTGACCTTGGCAATGTATGTGCCTCTTTGAATCTCAGTACCATCGCTGTGCTGGGAAGATTGAGGTACAAAGAATAAAGTAGTGTGGAAGTACATTTTATCTTCAGTCAATATCTACCTTTCTGTAGTTTCTGCTCATTGGCAAGTATGAGGAAGGGGAGATGTCTTCTTCCCCATGAGTGGGTCTGCAGATAGGATTCTTTTCCCCTGCCTCTTTGGTAAGGTCAAACCTAAAATCCTTTGCAAGACCCTTCTGAGCTGGCCCCTCATGGGCTGACCTTCCAACTTCATCTCTTGCTTCTCCCTGACTCATCCTGACCTCTCAAGGACACAGAGCTCTTTGCAGTTGTGGGAAGGTGCCCCGTGCCCTCTGCTTTGGCATGTGCTATCCACTCTGCCAGTTCAGTTGCTCCACCTTTCTTCCCTAACTGGCTCAGCCCAGGTGCCACCTCCCCTGAAAAGCCTTCCTGAGTCCCCAGGCTATTTAAGGTCCTCCTCCTTTGCAGTCCCTCAGTCACCAGACGTCTGTCCAAGTGAGTGTCACTCTCATTGGGCTCTCTGGATGCAGCCCGTACATCTCTTTTATACCTTCCCTCCAAGCATCCAGCGTACACTTGAAAGAATGAACAGATTGTGCCATTGAGTTGGAACTACACAGATCCTCCAGGTCCTGGGGGCTCAGACAAAGGGTCATGGCGGGGACAGGCTCCTCTCAGAAGGAAGTGACTTTTTTTTTTTTATTTAAGATGTATTTATTTATGCATACAAGAGCTCGGGTACAGGCCAGAGATGCTGAGGGGCGGGAGGGTGGTGAGAGGATTCACCAGAGACAAGGCGGGGAGCAGAACAGGCAGACGGACTGAAATACACTGCTAAGGGGAGCTGCGGGGGAGACCGAGAGGTCTGCTTTGCCATGTGGGTTGCTCCCTGGTCGGCTGGGGATTGAACTCGTGCTGCAGAGGCTGCGAATTGCTTCATAGTGTGGTGCTTAACCCCTTGCGCCACCAGGGAGGCCTGGAAGTGAATTTCTAGCTGGGTCTCTTTTCTAGCAAATTCTCAAGGCTGTTTTCTATTGGAAGGTTGAGACAGCCCCTTTTCTTGACATTTGAATGTTGTTGAAGTGGCCTTTTCCTTCACACACCCCAGCTTCCTTTTCCTAACTGATTAAGATCAGCCATCACTTCCCTCTCTGAGGTCCCTAATTTGTCCACTTTGACAGGGAGGACTGGAGGGATTTCTGGCATGCACCCCACACACCTGCTATTCTCTCTGCCTCATTTTTTGTCTGTATGAAGTGGGACAGTATATCTGTGCTAGTAGCCTAAGGTCAACTAAAGAGCAGAGAATATAATGTGTGAGACAGGCCTTTGAAAACAAGGTAGAAACTAGTAGTTGAAGCCTTCCACCAAGGAACTGTACAACCTTGGGTAAGCTGTTTAGCCTATCTGGGCCCTAACCACCTCACCTGTAAATACCTCTAGCCTCAGCCATCTGTGACTTGACTTCTTGGCTCACAGGAGGGGAGCATAAAGAAGACTCAGGCTGGAGTTCTTTGGATGCTCGGCGGGAAAGTGGCTCAGGGTCTTCCTCGGACACCTTCTCAGCAGCCAGCCTGCCTTGGCCCCTGGGGAGTTCCCAGCTTGGCAGAATGGGTAGCAGTGCCCAGGGTCCCCGCTCTGTCTCTGTGTCGACGCTGCCTGCCTCGGACTCTCTAAACCCTGGTCTCACTGAGGGCCTCTCAGATACCTGTCTCCCCCTGCACACCAGTGGCCGGCTGACTCCCCGTGCCCTGCATAACTTCATCACCCCCCCTACCACGCCCCAGCTGCGACGGCACACCAAGCCCAAGCCTCCGCGGACGCCGCCCCCACCCAGCCGCAAGGTCTTCCAGCTGCTTCCCAGCTTCCCCACGCTCACACGGAGCAAGTCCCACGAGTCTCAGCTGGGGAACCGCATTGATGAGGTCTCCCCAATGAGGTAAGCGTTCCTGCCAGCAGGTGCTGAGCTTGCCATCTACCGTTAAGTTTTTACTGTGATATTCTCATTGTAAAGGTAATATGGGCTTAAAATAAAAAGACCAGATAAAAGCAACCCATATAGAAATATGCAAAGTAAAAAGTGAAAGGTATCCCAACTACTCAGGCCACTCCCCAAATTACCTTTACAATTTGGGGGCTGAATCCTAGATTTCTTGATTTACACACAGACACTCAAACATGCAGTCACACAGTTTATCAGTCAGCACAGGCTAGGTTATGCTGCAGTAACGACCAACCTCCCGGGATATTCTAAAATACCTTACTCTTTTTTTATTTTAAAATTCTCTCTGTATTTTTAGTAGGTGTAACAGGCACAGGGTCCAAAATGCAAAAACTTTGTAGCTCCTGCAGTTCATGTTTGCAGGGGGATACGGTATAAACTTAACCCCCTACCCTTTCTCCTCAGTAACCCATTTCCTCTTTCGGGAGCCAACAGCTTATCAGTCAGTATTTATCGCTAAATATTCCAACTACCTTGTCTTTAAACTTTTCAATATCATTTCAGTGTATAGTTGAACTAGCTTTTCTCTCTTGATAGACTTTCAGTTCATAGTTATTTTTGTTATTATAAAGATCACCCCCATCAGTGTACACTTGTGGGCAGGGATGAATTTTATTTCTGTGCTTCCCACCTTGTTGTACCTTTGGAGCTTGGGACACCAGGCTTCTCTCCTGACATGGACACCCCTTTTCTGGTCTTGGGTGGACTTGTTTGCCCTGTCCCGGTGCAGGCGCTCCTGGTTTCCTTATGGGAAAAAGAGGCCTGCTGGGAGACTGCAGCTTTCCTCCCCCTCTGGATCTTCTTCTCCCAGAGAACACTGTGTAGACACGTGGACTGGGGTCAGTCAGAGGGCCTCTTAGCAGGTGAAACCCAGCGCATCTCCTTCTCATTTTTTCCTGAGAAGAGCATCAGGAAGGCTTTGGTCACATTCTGGCTCTTGGCACAGAGCAGTGCCTCAGACAGACCACACCAGTCCTCAGGTCCCGCAACTGCTGAGCTGGACTCAGACCCTGGGATTCTGAGCCGGGTCCTCACAGAGCCACCAAAACCAGCTCTCACATGGATACTCAGGCCACCCAGTTGGCGTCCCCCTGAGGGCAGCCTGGAAGGCCGGGATTTTCCCCAGCTGTCTACCCCTAGGACGGTAGCCCTCACCCCCAGGCATTGCTCAGGGCATGTTCCCACCAGCCCCTCTTTAGGGGACCACCTGCATGCTCTCAGACTGTTCTCCTTGCCCGCCTGCCACATCCTCTGTGACACACTGACCCCTTCTCCTGCCTGGACCCTGCATCCCCTCCTCCTAGGGCTTTGGGCAGGCTCCTCCTCCCCCATTTATGGGCCCACGACCTTGGGAGACTCAGCTGTGAAGTAGAGAGACCTCTCCTTGCCATGCTGGGGAACTAGCAGACCTGAGATAAGCTAATGTGTTGAGGTGTAGCTTCAGGGCCCACTAGGAGGACCCAAAGAGGGCATTTCTAATCCTTCCCATTGAGGATATGTCCCCTTAGAGAGTTCAGGGATTCCCCACTCAGCCAGTCTGGCCCCCTACCCCAAGGACTCAAAGCTCCTTGTCCTGTCACTCACTCCCAAAAGGTGATGTTCTGGGGAGCACGCTGAGGCAGCCATAATCCTCCTTTCTCTCTTTTTGTCTCCTCCAGGTTTGGTAAGAGTGATTTATTTTCATCCCCTGTGCCACTCGGGAGTCGTGTTTGTTGCTGTCCCCATCAGGGGTGGATTTCTAAGACCTTCTCTTAGTCTACTCAGCCTTTCCACAGTTCAGAAGCAGAGATGCTGGTAACCACCTCATGAAATAATGCACGGACAGGTGGCCTTAAGATGATAAGGTGGCATCATCCCATCCAGCAATTGCTCTTTGCAAAGCAGAGACCTCAAGAACATCGGGTTCTGTGGCAGACCCCACGGCAGACCCTGTCTCCACCTTGCCATCCCTGTAGGCACCCTCAGTAGCAGGGGGTGTGTTCCTGTTGGTGCACATGGTGCTTCAGGGAGGGGCTGCCGATATGGGTGGACATCAGCCATCCACAGAACCCCAGCTGATGTCTTGGGACCCCTCTCTTCAGGCCAGGGGCCCGCCCAGAGGCATGAGTACAGCTCAACTCTGAATGAGGCTTAGAGACATAGAAGGGTACCCGAGGCCTTTGGAGGGGGAAGAGGAAGCCTGGGCACCTGAAGTTGAGAGCAGGTTCTTGCACATGGCTATGCTGTGAGGCTTGTCTCTCATGAGTCAGAGGGAAACAGCCTTGCCCCTGGAGTCTGCTTTTAATTGTCTGAGTGGAAATGCAGAGATTTCTGGTTTTTACCTGAGCAAAATAGCAGTTTATTTCTGTACTCTCCTGAGCTGGTTTAGCAGTGCAATGAGGCTGTGGGCAAGGTCTTGAGGGTAGGAGCAGGGAGAGCAGGCAGTGACTGCTGGACTGTAGCTGGTTGCCAGACCAGCGGGGAGGCATAGGGAGAGTAGGAGGGAGGCCACACTTCCCTCTCCCCACAGCACGGGTAGGTGCCCCCAGGGCCCATCACAGAGCCTTGGCCAGCATCCAGCACCTGCACCCCTGCCATAGCCTCCTCCTAGTCACTATAGTGCTGTAGGGACCACGGCAGTGAGGCTGCTTTCCCAGGTTGTCAGGAAGACAGGATGAGACCTTTGGGCCCTACCCCTATTTCATCTGAATCAGAGACAGATGGTGCCTATCACATGTGCCAGCTCACGTTCCTTCTATCCCATGGCTGTGGCAAACACTACAAATCAATCTTAGTTTGTGTTTAGTGACAGATAATTGAAATCTCATTTTCCCATGATCTGTTATTCTCAAGATTAGTAACCCCTTTTTGGCCATGCCTTTGGTGGCCATGGCTGCTGACTGAGATGGGGTGGCTCAGGAGGGAGTTGAGAGGAGTCCGCTTTCTAGCAGATGTGGGGAGGAAGCTGTAGAGGTACAATTGTGGGTTCCTCAATCACTGTGGGGGGAGGAGGAGGGAAATGTAGCAAAGGGCCTTTTGGTCCCAATCAAACTCTGCTTGATGTCGAAGGAGTCAGTGCCCCTCCCCATCTCCTTGTGGTTGGGTAGTTGGTACTTGATCTTAAGTGAACCAGCACTTAAAGAGCACCAGCTGTATGCCCAGCTGCATTCAGTACCCAGGGGCACAGTGACTTTTGAGGGGGGATGCTGCTGACTCAGAGGGCATGAGATGGTCAGAGACCCTTGAGCGCTGTTTCTTGAACTCTGGGTCACAGATCCCTTTGATAATTTGATGAAAGTCTAGACTCTTTGCAGGGAAGAGCCTACAGCATTCTGATTACCAATCCAGAGAGTTCCCAGAACCCCTGAAGCCCCATCCATGGACACAGTTGAGAGCCCCTATTCCAGGAGGAGAGAGGCAGAGTTGAATATGGGTGAAAGGGGGTGGAGAGGAGATAAAGGTGTGGGGATACACATATGGCGGAGGAGAGGGCAGGGGTTAAATCTGTGGGCTGCGGTGGTTAGAGGGTGCTTCCAGCTGCTTCTCCATGCAGTGCCATGAACATTAGGAGCCTGTTCTTATGGGGGCACCCGGGTTAGAAGAGGGAGAGCAGGATGCCCTTGAGGAGGACAGGCAGGAGAGTTTATGGCCAGAGACTTCCCAAAGGCTCAGACGTGCCATGTGGGAATGAGGTCACACTTCACCTTGTCCTCACTCTGCCTTCCGAGATCTGACGGGGGTTCTCAGAGCAAGATTCTAAGGTGCTTCTGGCTGGAAAGGCACTGGATGTGCTGTGTGGATAATCAGCCTCCATCCCTCCTCTACAGGTCAGGCAGCTTCTGCCCACTTAACAGAAAGTGGCCAGAATTAAGCTCTTGAAACCTGGATGTACCTGTGAGTGCATCCATGAGAGAGTGCAAGAGATGGGGAATGTGGGAGACTTGTAGCCCCACCTCTGCTGTTCCTTCTGTCTCGCAAGCCCAGCTTCCACTGGAGCTAGAAACTGCGCAGAGATGGCAGACTGAACCATCCCAGAGGCCAGACCGTGACATTACCAGAGAAGCAGGCCATTCGTGAGGCTGATCACACTGAGTCCCTGGGATAGAGTGGCTCATCCCTGTTTTCATGGATAGAGGTTCAGGGAAATGTGGCTCTGCTATGCAGTGAATCACCTCACCCATCTCGCCTGTAATCTCTGAAAGGGAAAGTCACAGGTATGAGCTGTCCCGTTGGGGTTTCCTCAGCTTCCCCGACCTGGCCTCTTTCCCTGCAGATCTCCCACACGGATCCCCACAGATGGTACGAAGGGACATCGGGCTATCAGTGACACACAGGTAGGTCCCGCCAGCCCGGGGTAGGGAGGACACAGCTGGGACACACACCAGAGCCCTCACTGAGATGGGAGGCATCTCTACCACCTCTGGACGCAGCCTGCCTGTCCCCATGGCATATGGGCTTGCTCGCTCCTCCTCGGTCCCTCCGTGGGTCTCTTCCCTCTCTGCTGAGGGAAACCACTTGTTTCCCCTCTCAGAATACAGGTCCCAGGAGAAAGGTCCCAATCTCAGGGAGGAAGAGCTGAGAGCTTCCTAACACATCAAAGCCCCATAGAACATGTGAAACTTCAGACACCCAGGCCCGTGGTCCCATCCCTACCGCTCTTGGCCTGGCAGCTTGGATTTCCAACCACTTCCAAGGACTGCGGCGCCGTGCATGTGGGGAGCGCTGCTGTGGGTTCATCTCATGGACTGTCCAGAGGGCTTGGCCTCAGCACTGTCGAGGCTGTGAGGCTGGCGTGTGCTGCAAACAACAGGCCTCAGCCGCACCCCATCACCCCATATGGTGCCTTGGGAGCTGGCGTTCTGGCTCCATGTTTGCAGGCAGCTGTAAACACCACAAGGAGTGCTTGTCAGGAGCTTTGCAACTTGCCAAGGCTTTCATTTCCCCCATGGAGTGTGAGTTGTGAGTTTGCTTGGGTCATGCCACTGCTGGTAAGACAGTGCTGGAGCCCGCTAGCTGACACTCAGGCCCCTCTACTTGGAGTCTTGTCAGGCTGGGGTGTCTGTACCCCAGAGCCTTGGGGAGGACAGTGCCCGGCACCACACAAGCTGGCTCTCTGACCGAAGGTCCCAGTGCCTCCCTCGCCATGGCCATCGTGCCAAGTGTGATCTTCCTGAGACCCAACGGGCCAGGAGCCCACTTCTTCCCTGGAGTTATAGGCAGTAACTCCACACCTCAGTTTCTCCCTCTGAAAATGGGGCTTCCTCCTGTCCTGTCCCAAGAATGAAAAGGGTGTCGTGCATCATGTGGCATTTCACCTCTCACTCCAGCCCAAGAGAGGCCAGCATTACCCAAGAGACACCAGGACCAGCAGGTGATACCTGTTCATTTTTGTCTTGACTGTGCCTGCTTTAATGGGGGATTTGAGGCCGTACCTAGTGGGTAACATTTCAGATACCACTGAGCCCAGAGGGGAAGAGAATGTGGGTCCCAGGGAGATGGAGTTTGGACTCCTTAATGAGGCACCCCAGGGAGGTAGGCACCCTGTCTCAGGCCACCGCCCCACCCTGAAACACCCATCTTGGCTAGGTGGAGACAGTGACATTCAAGTGCCGCCTTCACATTGCAGGCGCCCCTCAATGACATGGCACATATGGGGTCGTCCCCAGAATCCCCATGAGGTTGGCCTGTTGGCCCATTTGCATGGGCTCCAGGCCTCCCATAGCCAGCAGCTGGCAGGATTCAAGCCCAGAGCTCTCCCTCACACTCTGCCCCTGGGTCTTTCAGAGAAGCCATGCAACTTTGTTCAGAAACCTGGGGTCTAGCCCCCACTGCACAACACACAGCTATGTGACTTTGAGAACATCCCTTAACCTCTCAGAGCTGGTTTTCTTGTCTATGTACTATCACGGACCTGCCTAACTCCTGGGGGGGCGGGTGGTGGGTGGTATAAAAACCAAGTGAGCTGATGCTTATGGGTGCATTGCAGACTGCTCCCCAAATACTGTTGCTCTTTGCTGTTACAATGCCCTATGTCTTTAAAAGTCACTTTCTCCAAAAATATCAGTTCTTTCTGCCCTTGGATCCTACCCTATGGCCAGGCTTTGGGCCTTTTTCTGGAGGACACCACCTACTCAGCCCCCATTCTTCTATCCCACGTGGTTTTTATTTTAATTTCGGTTTAGTTTAGAGTGAAAAATGCATTCATACGTTCAAAATTCAAGAAGTATAAATAGAGAAAAATCCCCTCGCATGCTGTTCCCAGCCCCCCGGCCCCCTGTAAGCAGATCTTAGTTTCTTGTGTGTCCTTGTAGAGATATTTTTATGCAAGCAAATACATATGTATGTTCTTCCGCCTCCTTTTTTATTTTCACACAAATACTGCATATATTATACACAGTTTTATGCTTTGCTTTCATTTTATTTGAGCTTCACTTTATCTAGTGCTTAGCATGTGAATGACTTGACAGTCATTAAAATAACTTTTGACATGGGTTGACATGTGTTACACCCATGCATACCAGCTAGATGACGAGTCCAGTGTCCCGGCACCCCTGGAGTTGTCTGTGGTTCCACCCAGTTGATGGTGTGGCCTCCCAGAGGTCATGATCAATTAATTTTTCCAGTACTTCATTTAAATGGGCTCATACAGTGTTGTGCCTTACTCCTCCCCCACCCCCCCTTGACATTGTAATTTGGAGATCATTCTGTATTTGCACAAAAAGAGCTTATTTATTTTCTGGCAGCGCAGTGTTCATTTGTATGCCTAGATGGTACCTTAGCGAGTTTAGTCACCTCAATGACATAGGTGTCTTCAGCTTTTAACTGCTACAGACTTGCAGGGGGTAACTTTATCTGCATGTCATTTTGCACCCATAGTAGTATCTGTTGGATAATTTTCTAAGATTTATTTTTATTTATTTATGCACACAAGACCTGGGGTGTAGTTTAGAGGGGTGGGGGATGAGGATTCACTGGAGAGAGAGTGGGGATCAGAACAGGCGAATCTACTGAAATACACTGCTGAGGGGAGCAGAAGGTAAGACAGGAGAGGTTTGCTGTGCCATGTGGCTTAGCTTTGGCTGGGGATTGAACTCATGTCACAGTGGCTGGTGATAGCTTGATAGCGCTGAGACTTTAACCCCTGCGCCCTGTTGAATAAATTCTTAAGACTAGAATTGCTGGGTCAAAGGATAAACACACTTGTCCTTGCTATTGCCGGAGGGCTGGTGAGCAGCCACACTGATGTGGAGTTTTGACAAGATGACTTTGTGGCGGGGAAGTCTGAATGTTGGGTGAAAATGGGGAGGGGGAGGGAACCATGGCCCCTGGGTGTCCTTCCTCTCCCTGGGAGAGACTGCCGGAGCTCTGAGTTGGAACCAAGTCCCCTGCTTTCCCTAGGGCTGTCCGGGAACTCTTGTCTGACCATGCCCTGGCCTCCTGGCCCACGTGAGCTCTTTCCTGTGTCCCCCTGCAGGTTCTCCACCAAGTCCTGGCTGTCTCAGGTCTGCCATGTGTGCCAGAAGAGCATGATGTTTGGAGTGAAGTGCAAGCATTGCAGGTGATGGGCGCTGAGTGGGAGGCCAGGCAGGGCGCCATCTTCACGCTTTGACTTTAGGAACAGGCCGGCTACTTGATTCCTTATCTAAGGTCAAGTCAGAGTTCAAAGGAGTGCCCCTAAACATACTGTAAACCCATTCAGCCCACCAGAGAGTAAGGCACTCCCAGAAGAAGGGAATATTTGAAATGGGCTTTGAAGTATGGCTAGGTAGTCCAGGGAGGAAAGAGAATTCCAGGCCAAGGGAGCATCCTGGGCAAAGGCAGAGAAGAATGGAGGACCGTCTTGTACACTGGAAGGACTTCTGAGGTTCATCCTTACATTTTAGCACACATGGGCAGGAAAGAGTTGGTGGTAAACACAGATAGCTCATGGTATTGACAGAGGGGACAAGGTAGATTCTGTAAATCTACAGCTTCAATTTTTTTCCAACTATTATAGTTTCTAGTTGGAAAGAAGGGCAAGTGTGGGATAAGCAGAACCTGTTCCCTGCCTCTGCCTGCCCCTAATGGAGTGTGGACCTAGAGCCTGTACTACTTGTTAACTTTGCCCTAGCATTGCTGTGTGACCTGGGGCAAGGTGCTTGCCCTTTCTGGGCCTGATTTTTGTTGATTTATACATTGAGGAAGAAGATTCCAGGTTTCTGTCCCTCAGGATTGCTCTGAAAATCTAAACTAGGATGCGTAAAAGCCCTTGGGCTCCAGCCAGATTGTAGGTGATGGATCTTGTCCATGTTGGTTGAATATATTGCATTTTCCTGGTGCTTCTCCTGACCACCAAGGAGAGGCCAGAGCTTTCTCACTAGTCTGGATATGCTGGCTCCTGACCATTTATTTGTAAATTGGGTACCTCCAGCTTCCCTTCAGGTAGTGCTTTTCATGCAGAGAGCACAGGATGACCTCTGAGCCCGTGCTCTCCTGGGATTGCAGTGTGAGCTTGGCAGAGCCCCCACTGTCATGATGTTTGGTTGAGAATCAGGGGCAGTAGAGCAGACAGGACCAAAACCCAGCTCTTTCCACTCTTGCTGTCCCTCAGATTGCATGCCCTGTGCTGGGGTACTACCTCTTGCATGCTGGGGGGCTTTGGTGGAGTACAGACTTTCTCCAAATTCATCTTTCTTTGTAAGTTCAGATTTATCTTGAGCTTTCTGAACGTGGATGGAGAGCCATCTTTTTCTGCAGAAAAGAGATAGATAGGTGCCCCACACAGGAGAAGTCGAAATGGGTATAACTGCTCTCCTGTGAAGACTAGGTAGACAATAGTGGGTGTCTGATGGATGCTCAGCTGATAGGAGCTGCTGGTACTGTTAACGTGAGGATGCTCTACACAGTGGTGCCACTGCTTGTTGGCACAGCTGTAGAAATCGAGGCTGTTAAAGTGGGGTGTCTTGCACATTGTTGCCAGGTCAGGCCCAGGAGACCCCAGTGGCCCTCTGTACCCTGACCCTGCTTCTTCCCCAGGTTGAAATGCCATAACAAGTGCACAAAAGAAGCACCTGCCTGTAGAATATCCTTCCTTCCACGTGAGTTTCCTGCCCCTTCCCTCTACTGCCTTTTGGATTTGGGGTGAATCTTTTTTCACTAGAGCTGTTCCCTGCTGATGGGTCTCCCTCTTTTTAAGCAGTACCTAAACTTCGGAGGACAGAATCTGTTCCTTCAGACATCAACAATCCAGTGGACAGAGCGGCTGAACCCCATTTTGGAACCCTCCCCAAAGCACTGACAAAGAAGGTACAGTAAGTGACAGCCTGGTGACCCTGAATGAATTCCTTGCCTTCTTGGAGCCTCGGTCTCCGAGCAGGGATACTGATGCTCAATTCACAGGGGTAACTTAACCTCTATGACCTTGGGGACCTGCCATCCTTTTAGCCAGTACTCGTCTCCAGCCTGCCACAGGCCAGCAGGTTCCTGCTCTATCACCGGGCCCCAACTCCCACTCCATGCCTGGCCAGCAGTGTTTCTGCACCTGTCCTATACCAAGTGTACCCCAGCCATGCACCATCCTTGCACCCCCTCACTCACTGTGTACATTCACCCACACATGCCCTGGGCCTCTGCTTCTGTATTTCTGCCCACCTGGACACCCAGTCCTTACCCTCCAGACCCACTCAGACTCCCCTTCCTTCATGCACCTCGTTGGCCCTCCAACTACCCACTTCTGGGGGTGCCTGTCTCTCGTGTTGCTGAGGACAGTTACGGGGTATCATCTGCCCAGTATCCCCTGTTTGTGGTCTTTACTAGAATATGACTAGCAGTTAATATGTGCTCCCAGGTGCCAGGCATTTTGCAGGTTCCCCTGTCTCCCTGACCTCCCACTGCGCTCCCTCTTGCCCTTCCTTGCTCAGATGGGCTTTGCCCAGTCCTGCCCAGGGGCTTTTGTGCCTGCTGGCCCACTCTCTGAAGCACCCTTCCAGCCCCCCCAGGGAGCCTCGCCTGGACACACCTATGGGCAGGCTCTCACTGCCCTGCCCTCCCCAGCGTGGCTCTGCTCCTGACGTCGCATGTAGCACTCACCCTTCTGGTGTTTGCTTTCTGTCTCCCTGACGGGTTGGAGACTGGAGGGCAAGGCATGTTGTCGCATCCCTCTGGGGCCCTGGTGCCTGCATGGTTGCCTGGCACATAGTACGTGGTCAGGGATCCTCTGTACTGAAACCTGGAGCCACTGGACGACTCTGCGAGGCCGCAGTTGATGCCCCTGTTTTGTAGACAATACACTGTGGCTCAGAAAGGTGGGGTGGTTCGTCTAAGGTCATGCCAGTGCAGGTGGGGGAGCTGGGATTCAGCCTGCCCGGTGGCCACTCCCTGCCTGCTGGCCTGGCCCTGCCTACAGGAGCTGGACGAGGAACTAGAGCCTTGAGTGTGAATGGCGAGCACGGAGCTCAGTGAAGCCAGCTCCCTCTTGCCCCTTCAGTGTGATAACCAGGGGCATTGCCATCCTTGGACAGGGAGGCCCACTGCGTCAGTGGTGTGGGTTCCAGAGTCCACCATGCACCCCAGAGCCTTTAGGGCCTGCCAAGAGAAAACTGTTGAACTTTGCACTTAATACAACTTGGTCCCAAGTTTTTAACAAGGAGACCTCCACACATGCTGAAAAATTGGTGTCTGGAAAGCGTTGGTCAGCTCTGGGGCCCCACCCAGTATAGACCCATCTCCCCACAGCCCTCTTTCGGGTACTCCTATGGCCTTGCTAGGGCCCAAACCACCGAGTGGACCTAGCCAGCAGGTCTGCAAAAGAGGGGTGGGAATATTGACTAGGTATCCCCTGTGAACTAAAGACTAAAGAGGCATTTGTAGGAGGTTGAATTTAGTTCTTTACAGGACCCTACTATGTGTGCTGGGCTCAGGGCCAGCCACTGGGTGTGTGACAGCAAGGGGGTGGGGGTCCCTGCTCTCACAGGACACGTGTGCGGGGGAACATCGTTAAAGCATCCCTATGCCTGTACTAGCCCAGCATAGTTCAGGTGCCCAGAGAAGTGCTGGGAGTTATGGGAGGATAAAGAGGAGTATGGTCCCAGCCGGGGCTCGGGGCAGGCTTCTGGGAGGAAAATACATTTGAGCTGAAGTGGGAAAGATGTGCAGGAGTCCTCTGGGGGAGGGCCATCGAGGTGAGGGACTCCGTGCCATCCCTCCCTCAAAGATTAGATGGGTGAAATGTCAGCACATCGGCTGACCTCACCTTTGACAGGTGAGGGTCCCAGCCGGGGGTGTGACAGGCCCTGCCCGTGTCTCATGTCTCTGGCCCTGCAGGAGCACCCTTCAGCCATGAACCACCTGGATTCCAGCAGCAACCCATCCTCCACCACGTCCTCCACGCCCTCCTCGCCTGCGCCCTTCCCGGCATCGTCTAACCCTCCCAGTGCCACCACGCCCCCCAACCCCTCACCCGGCCAGAGGGACAGCAGGTTCAACTTCCCAGGTACCACACCTTTGGGCTTTTTCTTGCACTCAGGCATGAGATCTGATGTCCCCTCTCTGCACATCCCAGGCGGCTCAAGGTCAAACACCGCTGCCACCCAGAGCACTTGCTGGGAGCCAGGTGCTGTGCCAAGCTCAAGAGCGTGACCCTAGTCAAACCTGGTAACATCTCTGAGGGACAGGTCACTTCACCCATTGTTCAGATGGAGACCCTGAGTTTCCGAGAGACGTGGCTTGCCTCCCTTTCCACAGCCTGTGAGTGGCACAGCCAGGATCAAAGCCGGGTCTGTCTAACATAAAGCCTGGTTCTTGACATAATCCCAGGCTGCCCTCCTGGGCTCGGGGTGGCTCTTCTGGCTAGTCTTTGCTCAGGGCTGACTTCTGAGCAGGCATGGCTGGGAACTGAGGCAGTCCAGAAGACCTGGGAGAGGGACTCTGAGACTCTGATGCTCACCTGCTCTGTGACCTGGACAAGCTACTTAAATAAGGGAAGCTTTTGTTCTCTTTTCCGTAAGCAAGAGCCCACGTGAAGTTGGAATTAGATTTTCCCCATTGTGTAGTGAGGATGCTGAGTCCACTGGGGAGCGTGTGCTGGAGCGGACCTGAGCCAGAGCTGACCTCTGATGTCACCATAGCTCTGGCTGTCCTGGGACCTGTAGGCCAGGATCCCCCCCACCTCTTGGCCAAGCCTGGGGTGTCAGCTTCTCCAAGGGACAGAGTGGGGCCATCTCGGTTTATTAGTTGGCAGCCCGGAGGGAGGCGTGGTTGGGATGCCCCAGTTTGCTCCAGGCCCAGGCCTGCTGCCAGCTCCAGCCCATGCAGTCCAGCTCAGGCCTCGATCTGGAGAACAGAGGCACAGTTCTGCCTGTGCCAGGGGACCCCTGCTCTCACCAGGGTTCTAAGGACTTCTTTTCAGGGTGCTCAGAGACTGAGATTTTGTAAGAATCTTTTTTTTTCTTTTGCCTGTCCCTTTGCCCTAACACATACCCAGCTGGAGCTCTTCTGACACTAATGCATCATCTGAGCACACCCCACTGCTCCCCCGCCTGCAACTGGGCGATGGCCCATTTGATTAACCTCTTCTCCTGTTCTGTTGTCCTTATTATGCCCTGAAACTGAACCTTTTGATTAACCTCTTAAGTTTAAGTTTTTCTAAAAGGAAGAGCCTGTTTGAAAAACAACAGCCATAGAAAAAGTCCTTTCTGTGCTGTCAGCCAAAGCGTCTTGGCTTTCCCTGATGTCCTAGGGGGGCCTCCTTGTCCCCTGCTCAGAGTCCTCCCCCTCCCCAGGGTCTGTTATCTCTCTGGCCTCAGCAATGCCGTGAGCAGGCGTGGCACTAGCCCGGGGAATGAACTCTTCCCACATGAACTCTGTACTGTGCAGGAGCACTTCATTTTCTTTGAGGATAAGCCTGGGAAAAGGTTATTTGTACCACCACTTTACAGTGTGAGCGATTAGCCCACTCTCGGAGTCCCAGAACCTTCAAAGGGGCAGAGCTGGGGTTAGAAGCAATTGGTGCCAGAGTCCAGGTCCCTAGTGTGTCCCCTTCTATACCCTTAGAGAGAGGTTTTTTGGGGGGCGATGGTGAGGTGAAGTCACGGAAGCCTCAACACCTGTGGGTGAATGTGGGGCCAAGGGGGAGGCCATTCTCTGCACACAGCACTGTCATTCAGATTCACTGTTTTTTTCTCCCCTGAATGTTGCTCTCCTGGGCTCGCGCACATTTCACAGCAGACAAGTGGGGATGGGAGGTGAACGGAACCGTCCAGGGTTCTGCCACAGAGTAGCCTCAGGGACTAGGATGCTGCCAGCGCCCATGTCCTCCAGCTCTTTTTCTCTTTCCTGTGGATCAGCCCACCCTGGCCAGGCCTTCCTGAAGCAGGGCGGGTGGGGTGGCCCCAGCCACATACACAAGACCCCTTTCTCTCTCCAAAGCCCATGCTTGTGTCCCCTCCTCCCTCGCTGGGTTTGCTGTTCTGTGTGTGACTCACCTCCTCTTCTGTTTAAAGCTACCTACTTCATTCATCATAGACAGCAGTTTATCTTTCCAGGTGAGTCCTTTGCATGGTTCCACTAACCTCCCTTGCCATGACCCCCTCAGTGTAGCCCATCAGGGCCCCTTCCCCTGAGCACTCTGGAGGTATTTAAGTCTCATACCCACCTACTGAGAGCAGTTGGGACTGGGCAGGGATGGGGAAGGATGAGCAGCCTTGAGTCTCTCACAGGGACAGAGGCAAGAAGTACACCGAAGTTGGTGTCCAGACTCTTGCACAGAGACGGCAGGCAATTTGTCCAGAGTCACACAGCAACAAGGTAGCAGAAACCTGGTTTGCAGAATATGGGGAGAGAATTTTTTGCTGATATTTTGCTCTCACAATATCATCCCCTACGTAATGACAAAGAGACTATTACTAACCCATGTTACACAAGGGGAAGTCTTCTGGCTTCATTTAGTGGACTGCGCCTTTCCAAGCTTGATGCGCAGCGCCATCTGCTGGCTGTTATTGGAAATGCTGCCTTCGTGTACAAAGTTTAAAGGAAAAAACTTTAAACCCAACAGGACAGTTTTCTTCCATACCCATCCACAAAAATTGTCTTGCACACCTACTGTATGCCAAACTTTGCATTTTACCATATTCCTGCTAATGAGGAGTTTGTAAGATTAGTACTTATTTCTCTAGCTGCAGGTGACAATTAATATAAATAATCCACAACTTTCCAATTCTTGATTTAGCCATATGAAGGGTCTGTATTAAAAAAAAAACACTCATTAGTTGTTTTTTTTTTTCCTGGGTTAAACAGGCTTATCTAGAAGTTGTGGTATTTTGGTTACTCCAGGCTTCTCTGTTCCCCAGATCCATTAGGGGAATGACTTGAGAGCATTTCTAAGTCCTGATAGGACCAGCCATCTGGCTTTGTCCAGGTGTGCAGGCCAACAGGGGTCAGGAGCCTGGGAGCTGTGCTGCTGGGCCTCCCTGAGCTGCCTCTGTGATTTCAACTATTTTTACTGCAATTCCCCTCCAAGATCATCCCTGGTTACTAGCTATATGTTACAGGGTGGTATACAGAGGAGTACCCAAAAGCATTGAGAAAGCATGGTTCTTCTTCCAGAAGGTTCCATCGTGGAGTAAAAATATGCCGGGAGGAGAGGGGAAGGGAAATACATATTTAAAACAAACATGGACACATTTTAGAGCAGAATGCAAATTGCACTCTTAATGGTTGAGGAAAGTATGCGGCTCCAGAGACATTTTGCTCTCCCTGCTGGGGTCCTGTTTTTCCTGGAACCCCTACTCTCCACCCCCACCCCCATGCATGTGTTTCCCTTGGCGCAGTGTTGAATGAGTAAAATGTCAGGCTGCCCCTGGAAATCTGGTGGTGCTGGGGGAGGCCTCAGCAGAGGCAGTCAGCACCCAGACCTCCTCAGAGATTGTGCACAGAATATTGGGTGCACGTGTGCATTTCCCCGACAAGAAGCCTACAGCCTCTCTCAGCTTCTCCAAGTCTGTGAGGTCCAAGGTATGGCAATCCTCTGGCTCAGGTGACTTTAGCATAGTCTTGGAGAGTACCCCAAGGCAGGGTGAGGGGTGCTTAGTGGGGAGGCTTTTTGTCCTGGGAGGCAGGGAGAGGCCACTGATAGCTTTAGCCACTGCCACCTCCAATCTCTCTCCTTTTGCTGAAAACAGAGGAGAGAGAGTGTGTGGTGCCAGCAGCCTCCCTGAGTTCAATGAGAAGGGATGCAGAGATCAGAAAGAGCCTAGCAGCAGAAGCAGCTTTGGAGGGTCTCACCTGTCACATGTGGGTTCCATGCTGGAGTGACTGTCAGTCTGGGGTCCCCAGATACGGGACTTTCAGTGCTCAAAGTAGGAAAAACTCATGCTCCCCAGGGTCAGCCCCAGATGCTCGGGTGTGTGAACTGTGAATTCCTCTGCCCCGAGGTCCCACTAGGGACCCAAACCCAGAAACCCTGGGGGCAGGGCCCTGGCTCCCCCCAGAATTCCCAGCAGCTGAGCCAGGCACCTGGTATCCCCTGCCTGCAGCCTCTGCTGGCCTGAGTGCAGCAGTCTGTACCTTCTTCACCTGCGGACAGCGGGATCTGGTGTCTGGTAACAATTAGCTCAGTTTGATTGCTGGTGTTGGAGCAGTTTGCCCACAGAAGAATGGTGTTAACTGAGAAGCCCCTTTTGGGACAAGCATAACCAAGGCTGGACAGGCCACGATGGTGCTGAGTTTAGGAAAAGTGCATATTGGCCCCAGTGGAAGAGGCCTGGAGAGGACACACGTGCAGCTCTGTAAGGGCTACTCAGGGGAGGGACCGCTTCCCATGTGGCTGGCTTTACACGCTCTCTGTCCTTGGAGTGGGAAGCTGGTCTCATCTTTGCATCTGCCCTTTGTTCCTTCCAGACATTTCAGCGTTTCCGCAGGCAGCCCCCGAAGCGGCAGACAGTACCCGGTAAGCACCTCAGTGCCGTGTCCTTCTCCTCCGTGGGCTCCGTTAAAGCTAGGCACACAGGCCTGAACACCTCCCATACCACCTTTAAATTTCTGGCTCCCATCTCTAGACACGGCCATGTATTGGGAAGCCAGTTGGGAAAGTCCTTGAACTAATTCATCCTCTGGCCCAGTGAGCCCAGCCAGAAGGGTTTATTTGCCTTCTGTCAGTGGAGTCAGCATTGGGTGGGTCTGTATATGAACCAAGAGGGAGCTTGTGTCCCAGGGTGCGTGGGCAAAGGCCATTCAGAGTTAGAGAGACCATCTTTAAAACAGCTGCTGTCTAGGGAACCCTTTCTCTGTGGGAGGCCCTGCTCAGTGCTGGGTTCACATCCCTCAGTACAGTCCTCAGCTCAGTGAAGTAGCTATTAAAGTGTCATCATCAGTGTCCAGAGAGGACACTAGCCCAGAGAGGTTAAGAAATTATATAAGGTCACACAGCTCAGAGTTGACACAGCCAGTTTTCAACCGTGAGGCTCTTGAGTTCCAAGTGCTATGTGTGTCCACAGAACCCCAACAGGCAACAACTGTGAAGGGGCCTTGGTGGTTATTGCCCACCCCCCTCTCCCACCCTCTCAGATGGTCTGGAGAAGGCCAAGGTTAGCAAAGCCTGGTCCTGCTGTTTCCACTGCATCCTACTGCCTTTCTCACAGCCAGGCAGGTCAAAGTAAGGATCCAGGCCTGGTGACCCATCCTCAGGGTCTCCTTGACAAACTGTTTACTCTTAGGCTTGATGACCAGACGAAAGCAGACATGTTGGAGGATCATGAAGTGGAGGTGAGTGTTCAAGAAAGAGGTGATAAGCCATGCCTGATGGCTTCCTTCTCCCCATCTCCCGCCTCCCTAACCCATGTTGGGCCTGGGGTGTGTGTGTGAGCCCTGGGCCCTGGCTCCCAGGTGCCCGCTGCAGCAGGTGAACAAGGGAGGAAGAACAATGAGGAAAGCTGGGCCAACCGCCATGTGTTGTGGCTGAGGACATGGAGGCACAGGCACTAAGTGATCTGTCTGGTGTTTACCTGTCTGCCCAGCCAGGGCAGAACTGGGATGTGGCCTCCTGATTTTGTGCCTCTTTCCTCCTTTGTCTGGTTGAAGGCCTAGAGAGGGGAAGAGAAGTTGGCTGAGCCCAGATCTGCTGCCTTTCTCTATTCCTTCCCCTCTCCTTCCAGGCCGAGGAGCCAGAGGCTGCCAAGTCAGAGGTGGAAGATGACGAGGACGAGGTGGACGACTTGCCGAGCTCCCGCCGGCCCTGGCGGGGCCCCATCTCTCGCAAGGCCAGCCAGACCAGCGTGTACCTGCAGGAGTGGGACATCCCCTTTGAGCAGGTGGAGCTGGGTGAGCCCATTGGGCAGGGCCGCTGGGGTCGAGTGCACCGAGGCCGCTGGCACGGTGAGGTGGCCATCCGCATGCTGGAGATGGATGGCCACAACCAGGACCACCTGAAACTGTTCAAGAAAGAGGTGATGAACTACCGGCAGACCCGGCACGAGAACGTGGTGCTCTTCATGGGAGCCTGCATGAACCCCCCCCACCTGGCCATCATCACCAGGTAAGCTGGCCCCCGGCCCTCACAGGGGTTGCCACCTCAGCCTCCCCCTTCCCAGGCTGTTATTTGTGTGAGCACCTGGAGGCACTGCAAGTTTTAATGTAGAGAAACAGAAAGAAGACAACCATTCCCCCTCACAGAACCCATTGACATTAAAAAAATTAGTGAAACCTCTTTGAGAAAATGCAAATGTTCTAGAAAATTACAGAGTGAAAAAACAGTGTTCTCTCCCTCAACTGGGCACCAGTCCCAAAAGGTGGCTGCTACAAATCGTGCCTTATCATTCCTCGCATTATTTTTTAAAAAGTTTCCATATGCTGACATATTTTAAATTACATATTCCTTTGCGAAAATACACAGCAAATGTCACAGTGGTTTACGCCACGCTGCCTTCATTCCAATGAAGGCCTGAGGTCTGCACAGGGTTCCCAGCAGGGCCTGGAAGCCCTGGTGGCTGGCAAAAGTTTAACAACCAGCCCCAGAGCACTGATTGGTAGCTCCCATCAGATCCTGTGGTGTAAATGCTCACACACAACTGATGTCAGGCTGCCAGCGTGTTCTCCCTGGAAGTGGAAGGGCATTGGGAAAGCCTCATACCCTGTGTTCTGGGTTCTGTCTCCAGCCACTTCCTGGCTGTCCCCTAATTTAACCCAATCCTTCCGCTGGACACTGTCCTAGTGAACGTGAGCTTCTGTGAGTGTGAGTGTGTATGTGACCTTGAGGGGCATGTTGTCCCTTTCCACTCCAATGCGTTGGGTTTACCCCTCCACCCTCCGTGTGCTAGTGTCTACCCACCCAGAAACCTGGGGGTGTGAAACCGAAACACTGTCCATACCATGAAAAAAGTTCTTTGGTATTTGCTTTTGAAATCAAAAAGAGCAGCTTAAAGGCAACTGAGGAAATTTAAGGGTTGACATAGAAGTGTCGAGAAGAAAGTAATGGCCTCTCTGATGCCATTAGCCAAGAGCACCCTTGTTGATGTTCTGATGAAGTTCCCTGTAACCAGACTCTGTACTTTGAAACCTTTCTTTCTTCTCAAACTGAATTTACTAAGTAAAAATTAACCTCTTTTATTTCTTTGTGAGAAAGAACCAGCCACCAGAACACCCACCCCTGGTGTGGGTCACCAGCCCACAGCACAACCCTGTGGAGCTTCAGGTTGTGGAGTCGCTGTGGTTGCTTCAGCTGGGGCCCCCCAGGACCCCGGCCCCAACCACTGTCCATCCAGCCATCCTCCCTTCTCTCACTCATCCACTGAGACCTTTCATAAGAGATTTGGGCTGCTTAAAGGGAATACAAAAAGTAGCAAACATTGACTAACCAAAACTTTAACATGGTTTACAACATACCGAGGGAACTGGGACACAGTGAAGGAATCCAGCAGCCCGCCTTCCAGACCCCTGGCCCAGTCTCAAAGTCCCTGCAGCTCCCAGAAACTTAGCTCCTAGGAGATTAAAAACTAGCCCCCAGAGCAGAATTTAAGTCCCCTTCTCCCTGAATTGGGATTGAGTCACACATTCTTGCTCTCCCGTCTTCACCCTGGTTTCAGGAGCCAGTGTAGTTTGAGACCCGAAAACTCAAGCTCCTTAACCAGTATCACTCTGACGCCCTTGACAGCCACCCCTGCCCTGTCTCCCTCCTTGTGCATTCCTTAATTGTCATAAGATGCTGTGATGAGAAAATGATCATGAGGAGCTCTGGACCCTTGATGTTGCCTCATCATAGAAGGTCACATTCTTCCTGTCAGAGTGAGTGGGCATAGTCCTGCCTTGACCCACCGAGGGTGGGTGGCTCCAAATAGCCCAAACTCTGTTCCAGGGAGGGCGGGCTTGGGCCTCAGGAAACAGCGTGTGTGCACATTCAGGCCTGGCCCTGGGAGGAATGAGACTTGGGCTTGGTTAACAACGGGGATTCTGGGGCCCCCACCATCCAGGGGATGCCTACAGCCCTTCAGAGGGTGATGGGGACAGCACTCCCCTGACTCCACAAGGGCAGTCTTGGGCTGCACTGGCCCCAGACCCCTGCCTGACCCCACCATTCTCCACAGCTTCTGCAAGGGGCGGACATTGCACTCGTTCGTGAGGGACCCCAAGATATCTCTGGACATCAACAAGACCAGGCAGATCGCTCAGGAGATCATCAAGGTGAAGGGGAGACCCTGCTTTGTCAGCCTATGTAGGGGTGGTGGTGGCTGCTCTGTGGTGCCTCTCACCAGGCACCACAAGGGTGGGACCCTGTCTCTTTAACCCTCTGCCCTGTCTTGTCCAGTGGGAGCTGGACACTCAGGCAGTGTTGATGAAATGAGTGAGGCACGTGGCAAGTTTTAAAGACACACAGGTGGAGTTTGGATCCTGGTCATGCTGCCCATCTTTGGGTAGATCATTTGGGGAGGGCTTTCTCCCCTGTGAAATGGGGATAAGAGTTTAATCACCCTATTTGGATAGGTGCCAGGAGAAAATGCTCAGACCTGGGACAGCTTTGGGCCTGGGGGTGCTTGGTGAGAGTCTGTTACAATTGATGGGGGTGGGACATCCCTGGTGGCACAAGGGCTTAAGTCTCAGCACTGTGAAGCAATCCCTAGCCACTGCAGCACAAGTTCAATCCCTGGCCAGAGAGCTACCCAGAGCTACCCACAGGGCGCAGCAGACCTCTCCTTTTTTGCCAACTGCGCCCCTCAGCAGTGTATTTCAGTAGATCTGCCTGTTCTGCTCCCCACTCTGTCTCTGGTGAATCCTCTCACCCTCCCCACACCTCTGGCCTGTACCCCTGCTCTTGTATGCATAAATAAAATAAATCTTTAACAAAAAAAGATGGGGGGTGGGTGGAGATTGGGAAGGGCTCTACTACAGGGCGTGAAAGTACCCTTTCTGCCTTCAGTTTCCAAGTCTATGTTTCTCTAGATCAGACTCAGGCAACCTTTTCTTTCCTTTCACCTTTTCTTAAGTAATTAAATAAGAGTTTCCTTCTTGCTTTCGTTGAGCAACAGAGAGGCCAAACAAAAAACGAGAATGCTTCTGGGTAGGCCTCTTCTTTTCTTGTTTTTGTGTTTTTTGAAAACTTTCTGTTTCAGCACCCACCAAGTTTTTGCCCCTTTTTTGTTGTTCTGTTTCCTTGTCTCCCACCTCCTATCCTTTTTTTTTTTTTTTTGTATTTCCCCCACTTCTTCTGTCCATTTTTGGTGTGTTTTCTGGAAGGAGAAGCCACAATGATAAAAGCCACGATGACTTTTGTAGATAAACCAAGACTTCATGTGTCATTTCCATCTAGCTAAACTAGTGAGCTCAACTTGTGAAGTCCCAAACCCAGATATCACTTTCTGCCTCCATTTGCCACCTGCCTCATTTCAGAGAAGGTGGAGGGAGCTGTAGAGTATTACCTACTTCGTGTTGTCCCCAAACTTGCTGGCCTTATTCCCTTTGTCTCTTCCTTTGCACCTTTTTCCCAAACTGTTTTCCCTCTTTATTTTTTTTTTTTAAGATTTATTTATTTATTTATTTATTTATTTATTTATTTATACAAGAACCGGGATACAGGCCAGAGATGGGGGGGTGAGAGGATTCACCAGAGACAGAGTGGGGAACAGAACAGGCAGACTGACTGAAATACACTGCTGAAGGGAGCAGCGGGCGAGACAGGAGAGGTCTGCTGCACCATGTGGGACCCATGCTGGCCAGCCGGGATCGAACTGGCACTGCAGAGGCTGTGAACAGCTGCACAGCGCGGCGTTCAACCGCCTGCGCCACCAAGGAAGGCCCTGTTTTCCCTCTTTATTATCAGAACACGGGGTGGGGGGCGGGGGGCAGAGCGCCTGGTTGATAACTGGCTGAGTCATGACCAATGAGCTTCTGAGACTCGCAGGCAGAAGAGAAAAGTTACTCAAAGCTTTTCAGAGCTGCAGAGTTGGAAGCTGCCTCTGTTCTGGCTTATTTGGTTTCTGTCCTCCTGGAAAACTGTCTCCTTCCTTCGTTCGTCTGTTGGGAACTTTGAAGCCCCTTCCTTTTGTAATTATCTCTGTTACTTTGATTGGTCTTTGATTAGAGGAATTCTGTGGGTAATGCTGGAAACACTGAGATCATGGGAAAGGAGAAGGGTTTGTGTGCCAGATCTGGGTCCTTTAAATCTTGTCTCTCTGAACTGGCTTTTTGAGGCCATCCACCTGTTTTATAAACAAGAGAGGTACAATGACTTCTTCTCAGTCACCGAGCTGGTTCCTTTACAACCCAAGGTGTGGTTTTTGGCTCTGTTTGGCTCCTGAGATGGAGCTCAGACCCCAGATTTCAGTCTTGGTCCAGGATTCTTGTTACTGAGCAAAGGGCTTGCTGCCTACCGCATGTATAATCCAAGACGATGAGCAGCCTTTGAAGGAAAAAAAAAGATCTTCTCATGAGTCTACAAAGAGACAAAAAAAAAAAAAGAGCTTCTGTGAGTCTACAAAGAGACAGGAGGTGAGGCTCAAATCTGTCACTGATATGGGGCTAAGCTTGGTTTTATGGAAGCAGAGGAAGAGAGAAAAAAGAAAGTTGGAATGAGGAAGTTTTGAGCTTGGCAGAGTTTGATTGGTTAGATTCAAATTGACCCATCTGAAGAGGTTTTTTGGAGTAATTTTGCTTCCACCTTAGCAGTTTCTTGGTTCTGGCTGATTGAAAAGCAGCTTACGATCAATTACTTCTGCATGTTCCTGTCATCTTCACAAGCATCGCCGTGCTGCCTCCCACTGCCAGCATTTGGCCCAGGCACGAGTAAATCCCCCACTTCCAAGCTGAGACTCTACCCACCACGATTCCTGTCCTCTAAGATGCAGGCTGGACCCCTTTCCCGCTCAGCCTCCTGGGCCAGCAAAAGCCACCAGCAGCCAGATCCTGAGGTGCCATGCAGGAGTGAGGCCAGAGCCAAGTTCAAACAAGCATTCTAAGGGGAGTTAGATAGGTTTTGTGTGGTTTAGGAGTCTAAGAACAAACTGATCTCAGTTTCACTTCCACCACATAGATATTGGGACCACTTGAACTTGGGGACACTTTGTGGGGACTACTCTTAGTTTCCCCAGCCAAACTCTTGCCTAGCCTGAGAGGAGAGGCCAACTGTGCAAATGCCTGATAGTAACCCCAGATCCTCTATGGGGTCACCTTTCTTTATGTATTCCCTGTCCTTCACCTCTGCATATATCACTCCTTCTCCAAACAGCAAGTGGATGCTGGGCAGCATGTCAGAGTACAAAGAGCACAGACTGACCTGGGGTTAGATCATTGCTGATCTCAAGTATGTGTGATCTGGGGCAAGCAACTTGGTTTCCTCATCTGTAAAGTGAATACCATGGTACAGCATAGGAGTGTGAAGACTGAATGAGGGGAAGAATGAATCTAGGTAAGACATCCAGCTGGGTGACTGGATCCAAGTTAGTCATTGTCATTCATTTCCCTCCCCTGCTGTGGTGTTGATGTCCTGAGACCAATTTCCAAGGCAGGTATGTGGGTAGGCCTCTCCACACAAACAGGCAATCCTCAGGCACCCACAGGATATCTGAGACTTCAACTCAATTCTGCTCCCTGGAGATAGCATCATATCCCCTAAGTTAAGGGTTCCAATTCAGACATTGGTTATGAGACCCAGGTGGTTCTGTGCAATCAGCTACAGATGGAGGTTCTCTTGATGATCTCCTCAAACTTCAGGTCCCATTGCAAGCCCCGATGATTATTTGTGCTTCTGACCAACTGGCTATAAATCAGAGATTCCCAGGACACCCAAGTAGTATGGTTTGATTAATCTGCTAGAATGGCACACAGAACTCAGGAAACCCATCTGCTCACAAGATCACCAATTTATTACAAAGGACACTAAAGGAAATAAATCACCATAGGGTCTTGGAACAAAGGAGGTTCTGTCCTTATGAAGCTTGGGGTTTGGCACAATGGCATGTGGAAGCACAATGGTCCCCCAGTGGGGACGCAGCTTCTCCTTGGTGCTCTTATGAAGGCTTTATTACATAGGCATGATTGATTAACTTCTTGGCCACTGGTGATTGAATGCATCAGTGGATGTGGGGTGGGACTGGAGGTTTCCATTGTTGGTTTCCATGGCAATCTGCCCCCATTCTTAAGTATTTTCTAGAAGTTACCATCATTAACTTAGCAAAAGACATCTTTAGGTCCTCCCCTGGTGGCACAGGAGGTTGAGTGCCACTCTGTGAAACTGTCCGCAGCCTCTGCAGTGCTGGTTCCATCCCCGCCAGCCTGGGAGGGTCCCACATGGCGCGGCAGACCTCTCCTGTCATGCCCACTGCTCCCCTCAGCAGTGTATTTCGTCAGTCTGCCCGTTCTATTCCCCGCTCTGTCTCCAATGCATCCTCTCACCCTCCCACGCATCTGGCCTGTACCCCAGTTCTTGTGTAAATAAATGGATAAATCCTACAAAAAAAAAAAAAATACATCTTTAATATTCTCAACACTTAGGACATCCCAAGACTTTTGGGGGTGACAAAAAATAGGTGCAAGAAATATATTTTGGTCATCTGAATGACCAAACGTCTGTAATTTCCTATAAATCTAACGTCACACCCTGACATGAGACTCGCTGTCTTCCAGGGCATGGGGTATCTACATGCCAAGGGCATCGTGCACAAAGATCTTAAATCCAAGAATGTCTTCTACGACAATGGCAAAGTGGTCATCACAGACTTTGGGCTGTTCGGGATATCGGGTGTGGTCCGAGAGGGACGGTGAGTTGGCCTTGGGTGGCTGAACAGAATGGGGAGGACCTGGATGGTGCTGGGTGGGCCTTGAGGTCCCACCGAGGTCTGGTGTACAAGTACTCTTGCCTTGTACTCCTGAGGGGTAGCCCTCCCTGTAGGAAAACCCAGGTTTGCTTTGGGCCTATCCTGTGGTTCTGGTCCAGAATCAGCTTTGAGTGCCACGTAGGTCTGTCATAGCTCTTGCTTCATAGGCAGATCCCCAGGGACTTTGGGTCCCCTTGCTCACACTTGCCCTGTGTGCTCACTGACTTGGGCAGGAGACCAGGGTTCACATCCCCCAGAATCTCAGGGATCCCCAGAAGAATGAGAGCCCCAGCTGAGTTGTGAGGCCCACAGGCAGATGTGATTTCCTGCATGGAGACAGGAGAGCGCAACTCCTTGCCATTATCCATCTTGGCTTCCTCTCCTAGGAAAACCTGGTGGTCGCCTTTGGTGGCATTCCCACAAAGCATTGGTGCTTTTGCAAGTGCAGAATCTACATTCTGCCTTCTTGGCGATGGGTGGTATGTGGGTGGTGGGTGGCATGTGGGTCCCCAGGGCAGATGTGTGCCAGGCGGCCTCCTTGCTGCCAGCTGAAAGGCCTGTGCCCTTGCCCTGGCTTCTTGCCCTCCAGGCGTGAAAACCAGCTGAAGCTGTCACATGACTGGCTGTGCTACTTGGCCCCTGAGATCGTGCGTGAGATGACCCCTGGGAAGGACGAGGATCAGCTGCCATTCTCCAAAGCTGCTGACGTCTATGCGTTTGGGTGAGCAGGCCCCTGGTGTCCCTCCTCCTGGGACAAAGTGGCCAGAAAAGAGGGCCCTGCTGGCCACTGGGGCAGGCAGACTTTGAACCCTGGCTCTGCTGCTTGACCTTTTCTTTCCTCACCTGTAAAATGGGGAGAATAATGGCACATCCCCAGAGGAATTGTTTCATGGGAGCTAATTAGTTAATTGTATAAAATGCCTAACTTTGGGTGTCAGCCTCACTCACTGCCCCCTGAGGACATCCACCCGAGTTTAGAGAACTGTTCCTCTGGGAGAATGGGTATCCTGCCAGCCAGCCTCCAAAACTAACCAAAAGAAAAATCAAAATATGGAAATACAACATGAACCAAATAGATAAAGCTTTCTCTTAACCACATTAAAAAGAAAAACATGTGAAATCAATTTTAATATTTACTTCAGTATATCTGAAATACTATCATTTCAGCATGTGATCAAAACTAATGAGATAATTTAACCTACAGAGTTTTCAAAGTCTGGTGTGTAGTTCACATTGACAGGACATCTGGGTTCCACTTGCCCCCTGTCAGCTGCTTTATCGCCCCATCTGACGAGTGGCCCCTGCGTGGGCTGTGTGGGTCTAACAGAGAAGGGCTAAGGTTAAGAAAGGTGAAGGTCCTGGCAGAGGCTGAGGAAGGCCTCACCTGCAGCTGCCCTGTAACCTCCCAGTATCTTCCCTCTGGGGTGTTCTTTCCTTCCCCTGACGTTTACCTGCATCATTTCCCAAGCACCACGTGTGCCAGGCACTGGACTTGGTATTTCTCTTCCTGTTCAAACAGTCTTGGACAAAGGCATCAGGCCCACTGGCTTTAACAGTTGTACCAGGAACTTGAAGCAAGAAAGTGGGGAGCTGGTGTTCATGTTCTGCTCAGAATGACCTGCAAGGCTTTCCTTAGAGCCTTACTGCCCCAGACTTTGTGTCACTGGAAAGTGGAAGCCCAACTCCAAGAGGGGAGGACAGGGCCTCAGGGTCCCACTAGCACCTGGGGGAGCTACCAGGATGCCATCACAGCATTCCCTGGAACCTGGCTGTGGGGAAGGCCGAGAGAGACGCTGGATTCTTTGGCTGGGCTCCTGGCATTGCAGCTCCAGGGGCTCCTGCGCGTGAGCTGGGAGCAATCCAGGAGCTCAGGTGGTGTGCTGGGTCTGCCTCCACAGGACTGTTTGGTATGAGCTGCAAGCAAGAGACTGGCCTTTTAAGAACCAAGCAGCAGAGGCCTTGATCTGGCAGATTGGAAGTGGAGAGGGAATGAAGCGTGTTCTGGCGTCTGTCAGCCTGGGGAAGGAAGTCACCGTGAGTAGCCACCTGCTCTTGGAGAAGGAATAGGGCTTGAGGGTGGGACAGGGCAAACAACACAGCTGCCCTGCGGTCACTCACTTGAGATGCAGGTTTGTGCCAGGCAGGCCCCTTTGCTGCAGTTTAAAAGCCATGTTCTTTATCACCCCACTGTTCACTTTTTTTTTTTTTTAAGATTTTTTTTTTTTCATGCATACAAGAACTGGGGTGTAGGCCAAAGGTGCAGGGGGTGAGACAGAGACAGAGTGAGAAGCAGAAAAGTCAAATCTACTGAAATACACTGCTGAGGGGAGCAGTGGGTGAGACAGGAGAGGTCTGCTGAGCCATATGGGTCAGCTCCGTGGCTGGGGATCAAACTCATGCCACAATGACTGGTGATAGCTTCAGAGTGCTGAGACTTTAATCCTGCACCACCAGGGAAGCCACTCATTGTTCACTTTTTATGTAAAAAAAAAAAAATCTGGAAGGATATTAAAATAATGGCTTTAAATGAGTTGCGAGATGAAAAAAAGACTAAAGCCCCATGTGTTACTTACATCAAAGTAGGTAATCATTTTGCAAAGTACAAACACTAGGGTGATAGCATCAGATCCTTCTCTCCATAATGGTTTTCTCAGTCCTTCAAGAACAAATCAATTGGGGGCCTCCCCGGTGGCGCAGCAGTTGAGCGCTGGGTTGTGAAGCTGCCTACAGCCTCGGCAGCGCCAGTTCGATCCCTGGCCACCAGGCGAGGGTCCCACATGGCGCGCAGACCTCTCCTGCCGCCCGCTGCTCCCCTCAGCAGTGTACTTCGGTCCTTCTGCCTGCTCTGCTCCTTGCTCTGGCTCTGGTGAATTCTCTCACCCTCCTGCGCTTCTGACTGTACCCAGTGCTTGTATAAATAAATAAATAAATAAATAAATTTTTTTTAAAAAAGAGCAAATCAATTGCCACAACAAAATTTCTTTTCAAAATGCCAAAAGGCATGAGACTGAATAGTTTCTCTGCATTGCAGCATATCAGTCTCCTTGTAATAGATAAACAGTATCTAGGCGGCAATGAAAGTGTCTGGACAAGCCCCTGGTGCTTGTCAGGTTAAGGTCTAGCTGGGCTGCGTGTTTCTTGTTGTGAGCGGTGTTGGCAGGATCACACCTGCAAGCTCTGAGACAGACTCAGGGAGGATTTCAACCTCACCTTCCTCAAGATCTCAATAGATCCTAACATTTTCTCCTTTGGCTGGCAGCAAGCATGCAGGGCATTAATGGAAGGCTCATTAATGACATTGTAGGTGATGTGCTTTACTTCTCAGCGTCCCTGTCATCTGCTTGTCTGGTATCCCCACAGGAGAACGCCTACATGGCTCTTCTTGGGGTGGGTGATGAGTGCCCGCCAGGTGCTCTGGGGCTCGTCCTTCTTCTTCTTCTTCATCTTCGTCTTCTTCTTCTTCTTCTTTTTTTAATATTTACGAATGCATGCATGTAAGAACTGGGGTGTAAGCCAGAGGTGTGAGGGGTGAGAGGATTCAACAGAAAGAGTGGGGAGCAGAACAGGAGGATCCACTGAGGGGATCAGCAGGTGAGTCAGGAGAGGTCTGCTGCGCCATGTGGGTTGCTCCCTAGCCGGCCGGGGATCGAACTAGTGCTGCAGTGGCTGGCAATAACTTGATAGTGCTGTCTTTAACCCGTGCAACACCAGGGTGGGGCTCATCCTTCTTGACCATAGACCAGAGCTCAAAGGGTAGGGTTTGGACTCCTGGCTGTTGGGACAGCTCAGATAGCAATAGAAGCAGCTATTGCCTTCCATGCTTTTTAAGAAATATATTTTTAAAAATAACTTCAACAAAATCAATGTCATATGTAGCTGATTTTTAAAAATCTATTTTCCCACATGGCATTTTTATTATGCTCCTTATCTTGAATCTTTGACACATCTTTACTTTTCAGTGTGTCTATCCTTCTGGCCTATGGCTACACCATAATGTAACTACTTCTCTGTTGTTGGACATTTAGGTAATTTTTACCTTTTACAATAAAGTTAATCAGGACATTTTGTATAATCAGAGTATGTATATGTATTTTTTTTAAAGATTTATTTACTTATTTATACAAGCAATGGGTACACTCAGAAGCATGGGAGGGTGAGAGAATTCACCAGAGCCAGAGCGGGGAACAGAACAGGCAGATTGATGAAATACACTGCTGGGGGAGCAGCGGGCGCTGCAGGAGACATCTGCGCTCCATGTGGGACTCTCGCCAGCGGCCAGGATCGAACCGGCCCTGCAGAGGCTGTGGGCAGCTTTGCAGCCCAGTGCTCAACCGCTGCGCCACCAGGAAAGGCCCTGTATATGTATTTGTTATATCAGAAAGAAAAATAGTCATATTAAATAGTTACCCTCCTGGCAACCATCTCAGTTCCCTTTCTGTGTGCATAGTCAGAGCTGAGTGTTAAATGCTGTCTTCAAGGAGGTAAAGGGACAGAATATAGAGCCCATCTGTGGTCTTAACACTGGTTGTAAATCAGAACCATCAAGAACTTCTTAAAAAATACTGAGGACAACAACCACTATGGAGAGCTGTGTGGAGATTTCTGGACCTACTAAACATAGAGCTTCCATATGATCCAGCAATTCCACTCCTAGGTATTTACCCAAAGGACACAGAAACATCAATTCCAAAGAACACCTGCACCCCTATGTTTATAGCAGCACTGTTTACAATAGCTAAGCTTTGGAAACAACCCAAATGCCCAAAAATAGATGACTAGATCAAGAAGATGTGGTACATATACACCATGGAATATTACTCAGCATTCAAAAAAGATAAACACATGCAATTTGCAGCAACATGGATGGTGCTGGAAGGGATCATGCTCAGCGAAATAAGCCAGAAAGAAAAAGAAAAATACCAGATGGTCTCACTCATAGCAGGAATCTAGAAAACTTAAATAAGGGACCAGGAAAATGAATAACTATAAGAAAGTGAAAATCAAAATCAACAAAAAACTATGAACCAGAGACACTTTTGGGGGGTGGGGGGCGGGAGGGGAGGGATTGGGATCAGAATGGGGGGGTTGCAATTGTATGGGGAATATAAAAATAAAATTTATTATTTAAAAAAAATAAATAAAAAAAGTTTAAAAAAAAAAAATACTGAGGACAGGGATTCTGCCAGAGAAGTTGGCCTGGATTAGGACTAATGTCACAGTTAATTTTTTTAATTTTAATTTTTTTTAATTAAAATAAAACTGATAGGCAAACATTAGTTTCAGATGTACAACATAATGATTTGCTATTTATACTATTTGCAAAATCATCACCACAATAAGTCTAGTAAATCTCTTTTATAGCACATAGTTAGAAACTTTTTTCTTGTAATGAGAACTTCTACCCTCGTGGCAACTTTCTAATGTACATTACAGCATTATTAGCTATAGTCAACAAGCCATAGTCACTAGATCCTCAGGATTTATTTATTTCATAACTGGAAGTTTGTATCTTTTGATCCCCCTTACCCATTTAGCCTACCCTTCCACCTCCTTATTTTTATATAAAGCTCCTCAAATAATTCTAGTCCACAGAGTCCTGAATTAATTGGAATTTTTTAGAGTGCATTATGGGCCCTTTGAAGCCTTTTAAGAATAGATTTAGGGCTAGGGAGTAGGGAATTGGGGACAAAGAACATGTTCTAGCAGCCTGCTTCTGATTCAGCAGAGTTGTGTTCCTGTTCAGTGTTTTCTCTTTTTAACATTTTGCTGTTGGAGGGCGGAATGGGTATTGGTCAAAGGGGAAAAAAAATTTGAATCATAATCAAAAGCAGGGAGAGCACCTCTCTCTGTCCCTCCAGCCTCATGGCTGAATGTTCACCATCCAGTGCTGCTTTATCTGTTGAGACAGAAACAGTGAGTTAGTATGCACTGGAAGATATCAGAAGGCCAGGATTTTTAATGAAAATCAGCAGTGCCTTGCCCCAGAAAGGACTCTTCAAAAAACCAACTTCTTGTTCTATCAACTCTTCCTCTTCAACCCCCTGCTCCTTCCCCTGCTCAACTTCCATCATCTTTCTCTTTAATTGTTAAGGTTGACTTCCTTTTCTCATGGTTTAATTAAATCTTCTATATGTTATCTATAGCTTAGGGCTAAATGTGAGATTACAATAAATAGTGTGTACTATATTATTATAAGAGATTATAGTTGCCATTAGCTGCTGATGAAGTACTTGTTCACTGGGTTACATTTTTTCCTACCTTTCTTCCATTCTATCAGTTACTTAAAAGTACACAATTTTGTTGGCTTTACGTTTGGAATGCAGCTTTCTTGTACAGTTTTAGGTTTCTCCTGTAGTTTCTAATTGCCTTTCTTTTTTTTTTTTTTCTTGTTGAAAAAAGAAACAAACACCATTACCATTTTCCTGAGGTCTTGCTGCTCCTTCTACATTCTGCTTATTGAATAGAATCTGTTCTGTTCTTTTTGGAACCAACTAATTTCTTACCATTTGAATCAATGGAATCTTTGGCCTGCTGCAGAGCTGTCATTCTTCTGTGGGTTTTTTTTTTTTTTCTCTTTTTCATTCATTCCTGGATCAGCTACAATACCTTGTATCTCATCTTCCCATTTCTTTCCCATTTTGCACTCCAGCAAATTGAGAGTGTAATCTGAAGCAACAGCCTCACAGTGGGTGCATAGGAGATATTTGAATCCTTGCATACCTTAAAAAAGCCTTTATTTTGTCCTCAAACTAGGAGTAAATTCTAGATTCATAATAATTGTTCCTCAGACCATAAAGATTTTACACAGCTGTCTACGAAGTGCCCAGTGCATTTTTGAGAAAAGTGGCATTGGTCTAATTCTCAACCCTTTAAAGATACCCTGTTTTATTCTTTCTGGAAATACCTAGACTCTTCTCTTTATCCTTTATATTCATAAAAATATATCTGTGAATAGGTTTTTTTTTTTTCCTTTTTGTAGTGAGGTCCCTTAATTGGGCTTTATTTTAAAGATTGATTTATTTATACATACAAGAACTGGGGTACAGGCCAGAGTTGTGGGGGGTGAGAGGATCCACCAGAGGCAGAGTTGGGAACAGAACAGGCAGACTGACTGAAATACACTGCTGAGGGAAGTAGCGGGCGAGGCAGGAGAGGTCTGCTGAGCCATGTGGGTAGCTCCCTGGCTGGGGACTGAATTCATGCTACAGTGGCTACAGCTAGCTTTATAGGTTGTTATCTTAACCCCTTGAGCCACCAGGGAGGCCCTAATTGGACCTTTTCAATTAAAGATTTCTGTTTCCTTAAAAATGGCTGGAAATTTTTCTTGTATGTTTTAGGTAGTTTTAGGTAATTCCCTATTCTATAGCATCTTTTTCTCTTGTGGAAATTCCCTTTTGATAGAATTCTAAGTGAGCTTCTGTGTCTTTTACCTTCATATTTTCAATCCTTATCTAAATTGGGTCCACAATTTGGGGAATTTCCTTGATTTTATCTTCTAGTATTTCTACCTAATGATGTTTCAGAAGTTATATTACTATATTATATTGCTTATTTGTTGATTTCTGTTGTACCCTGTTTTTGTTTGACAGATAGAGTTGATTCTACACACACACACACACACACACACACACACACACACACACGATTTCCTCCACAGTTGGTGTTGTAATTGCTTCACCTTTGGTCTCTTGTTTTCCTGGCATGGCGAGCAACCTCATGAGGTCTAGTCATGTTTCATAACAAGAACCTGAGCTGCTGAGTCTACATGGATGTGCACTTTCTGCCCTTTCCCATAAGTGCTTTCTACCTGGTAGTATGTGCAGGCCCATTTTCTCACACCTAGTTCTGAAGCAAAAGCACATAGGTCTGCTGTCTATATAGATATATAGAGAGATAGATAGCTAGATAGATATAAATATAGATATATAATATATAGGTATCTATCTGTGTGTGTGTATATATGGATCCTAAGAATAGACAACAGAATGCCAGTGTTAGAAGGTTTTACTTAGGAGAAAGGGCAACTGAGACATCTGTTCTATTCATTCTCAACCACTACCCTGTATTTGTCCTGCTCGTCTCTCCCAGCTTCCTTGAGCCTTAAGGCCAAGGCTCAAGCTCTGTGTTACATTTCACCTGTCAACAATTTTCCATTATAAAAAAATCAATGATTCCATTTCTGATTTCCTTATTACCTGTTAATGAAATCATTGGACTTCATTGTTGTTGTTCCAGGAAGGTCTGGAAAAGAGTGGCCAAGTTCATGTACCTCCTTTTATTTTTTTTTAATTTATTTTATTTATACAAGAGCCAGGGTACAGTCCAGATGCGCAGGAGGGTGAGAGGATTCACCAGAGACAGAGCAGGGAACAGAACAGGCAGATTGATGAAATACACTGCTGAGAGGAACAGCGGGCGAGACAGGAGAGGTCTGCTCACCATATGGGTTGCTCCGAGGCTGGCGGGGATCGAACTGGCACCACAGAGGCTGCAGACAGCTTCACAGCGCTGCGCTCAACCTCCTGTGCCTCCTTTTTGATTGGAAGCTTCAAATGCTTCTGAATATCACTTATTTCTCTGTTCTACCCCAGTCATCTGACGTCTGCAGGATGTCCAGGGACCACCAACTGGGGGGTCCTTGAGAACATCGAAGGGACCCTGTGCATAGTGCCCTCCCTGCTCCCAGCCAGCTGTCATGCCTACTAATGCCAGCTCTACTTGCAGGAGATCTTGTCTGCCTGCTGGGCTTTCGACCTAGAGGAGAGGCCTAGCTTCACGCTGCTGATGGAAATGCTGGAGAAACTGCCCAAGCTGAACCGGCGACTTTCCCACCCTGGGCACTTCTGGAAGTCTGCCGAGTAAGTACCCCTCAGGGAGCCAGACCGGCCAGGCATCTCAGTGGGCACTGCCAGCTGTTTCTGCCCAAAACTTTAATCCGGGGGATACACAAAGAAGATGACCCAGAGATTCCTTTTGTTGACTCACAGTCACTAGTTCTCCTCTGCTGAGCTCAGTCTATTGCTAGACCAAAAGATTCTGCTTAGGGTGGGGCCAGACAGGGCTAATTGGGAGCCAGAGCCACATGGGTACAGAACCTCACTAACACAGTGGCTGTTACTTAAAATGGCACAGACTCAAGGCAGAGCTTTATAGCCCCACACCAGCCGCCTGCCATGGGAACATCACCAGCTGTGTGGTGCTTTGACACTGGAAGCCCAGCCCCATTTCTGTTTAATCACACAGTCCTTTGCACCCTTTGGAGCAGGGATGGTCTCCACTGGGCAGGGAGGCCACTGTCAGCTCTCTAATTTCTGTCCTGTTCCTTCTTTCTTTGCCCCTCTGACCCCTCTGTACCAAAAACAGACCTCCACCTTGAACCCTCTTTGGGAATCTGGGGAAACCCCTCTTTATTCTGGGTCTCAGTTTCTGCAACTTTAAAAAGTGGGGATTTCACCAAGATTGGGGCTGGGCCAACTTTTAAAGACTAAGGGAAGTATTTTAGGCATTGCTGGCCACTAGGAATTTGTGCTGCAACCCATCAGTGGGATTTGCAGTGGGCCCAGCAGCAGAGAGAGGCCAAAACACCCACTGTGTGCAGTGTCTGTCACCACCACTCAGCTCTGCCCTTTGGCATGGGGACAGCCACAGACAATGGGCAGACTCTGCTCTCATGAAGCTCCATTTCTGGATGCTGAAACTTGGATTTCATGTAGTTTTTATGAGTTCTGACTAGCCCCCAACTCTTTAGAAAAGCAAAAGCCATTTTTTTAAAAAAAGATTTTTATTTATGCAAACAAGAGCTGGGGTACTGGCCAGAGGTGTGGGGGGTGAGAAGATTCACCAGAGACACAGAGTGGGGAGCAGAATGGGTAGATCGACTGAAATACACTGCTGAGGGGAGCAGCGGGTGAGTCAGGAGAGGTCTGCTGCACCATGTGGGCTGCTCCCTGGCCAGGGATCGAATTCATGCTATAGTAGCTGCCAATAGCTTCATAGTGCTGAGACTTAACGTTACCTTGCGCCACCAGGGAGGCCCATAAAAGTCACTCTTTTGTTGTTGTTGTTGTTAAGATTTTATCTATTTATACAAGAACTGGGGTACAGATCAGAGGTGCAGGAGGGTGAGAGAATTCACCAGAGACAGAGCGGGGAGCATAACAGGCAGACAGACCGAAGACTCTGAAGACCCTGCTGAGGGGAGCAGCAGGCGAGGCAGGAGAGGTCTGCCACTCCATGTGGGTTTCTCCCTGACCGGCCGGGAATTGAACGTGCACTGCAGAGGCTGCAGACAGCCTCACAGCACTGCGCTCAACCCACTGTGCCACCGGGGAGGCCCAAAAGTCACTCTTAATGTATGCATTTCAGGTGGCAAAGCTGCATCTGAATCACACACCTACTGTCCAGGGCTCGTGGCAGCAGCCTCCTCCTAGGGCCAGATTGTAAATATTTTAGATTTGTGGTGCGGTTTCCTGGTGTGGTTTTTTGGGAGGTAAGGGAACAAGGGTATAGCTTTTGAAAATTGCCAGTCTTTTTTTGACCATATATGGTTTAGGTGTAGTTTGTCAGCCCTTGTCTTGCAAACAAACAAACTGGCTTCAAGCTGCAGGGGGCGAGAAGGGGAGGCCCCACACTGGTTGCCAGCCAGAGGATGAAGTAGGAGAAGTTGTTGAAGGTAGACTTTGCTGGTTTAAGCCAGTTGCAGAGACAGTCTGGAGGAATGACAGCTAGGGTTAGGGAAGACAGTATTTTATAATGCATTGTTAGATTCAGAACTATGCTCTTAAGATGGGTTGGGAACCAGTGAAATAGGACATAATAGGATGTTGCCATCTCGATGTGTGGGTTTTGCTCAGCCATTCCCAAGTATCTGCTGCCATCTGGGGAGGCAGAAGGCCAAGGCCTGCCTCTCCCAGCGTGGAGTTTAGAGTCAAGCAGATGAGGGAATGCTTACACGCTGAGTGCCGGAACAGGCACACCCTCTGCAGGAGCAAAGGTGGGGCCTCTGCCACGCAGCTTGAGGAAGTGTCCCTAAAAAAGGGTCCTCAGAGCTAGGTTTTGAGCAGAAACTCTCCTGGCAGAGACTGGGGGCCCGGGGTTCTCCTGGATTTGGAGGAAGTTCAAGGATCTGGTTTGTCAGACCTTGGGCTCCTCATGTAAGGACCTGGGCCCTGGTTTTCACATCCACACAAGACAAGCCTATGCTAGGTGCTGATGTTGAGGAGAGATTCTGGATTCCCTGAAAACCCTGTCATCCCACCTTCTCATTTCTTATGCAAAGGTGTTGTTGTTTCATGCCTAGAGCACCAAGTCTGACCTCACAGGCAGAGGCCTAGCGTACCTCAATAAGTCTGCATCCACGCTTCCTCTTCATGATTTTCATTTGTATGTGCTCAGCCTCTAATTCTCATTTTCTCTTTTCTTTTTCATTGGCCTTGTTGCTTTATTTTCGGGGGGTGGCGGATGTGCTGGCTGTCTGTCATCTCCCCCTCTCCCTGCCATCCTGGTTCCTGCGACCCCACTTCACCTGCCTGCGCTGGGCTCTGACTTCATCACCGGCGGGACTGCGCTCTGCCCACACCTGGCACTCCCAGTCGCTGGCGGAGCCGCTACTACGGGAAAGGACGTTATGGTCACCCTGACTTTAAGAACTCCTGTCCAGTTCTGGAGGAATAGTGTGTCTTCTGTGATTTCCTTCATTCTCTGCCTGTTTGTGGTTATCGCTCTGCACATCCTGCTTCCTGTTTTGTCTTCACATCCCGCTGTCCCACGTTTGTGTGTTTTATCCCCATGCACCAAAGGCACGTTCTTACAGCTGACGTGGCACCAGCTAGGCCACTCCGGCTGGTATTTCTCACACCAAGAGAAGACCCACGGCATGTGGCAGGGCCTCCGTCCGCACCCCATGGAGGACAGTGGCTAGTCCCCTGGGGGAGAGAACCCGGGTCTTTTATTTTGAGTCCCAGGTCTCTTGGCCAGAGCTGGAGGAAGGGAAGTGAGCAGCAGGAGTGAGCTACTGCCTAGAGCTAGGGGGTCAGGGATGCTGTCAGTGAGGAGGGGCCATGGGCCTGTGGCCATCCTCTGCATAAACCCTATGACTGTCGTGGGGGGCCCTGGGAGGGGCTCTTTGTGCCCGGTTATTGTCTAAGCTGGCCCTATTGCCCATCTCGAACAGAGACGGGACTTCCTTTCTCTGTAGGGAAAGAGAGTTCCCTTCCTTCTGCCACTCCCCTGCCCCCCTCAGCCGCCCCCCAGACTTGGGTTCTGACACTGCTCTCTCCCCTGTCTCTCCTCTGTAGGTTGTAGGCCTGGCTGCCTTGCATGCCCTGGGGCTTCCTCCTCCTAATCAACAACCCAGTGCTGCTGTGACTTCTGCTCAGATGCAAACCCAGGCTCGGGCACTAACCCAGGGGACATGATCTCTGCTGCTCCAATCTTCTCCTGAGACTTCTTCTTTTGCTTTGTTTCTTTTTAAAACCAGCTCTCTGCGCAGCCTGCGTGTGCCTGAGTGACCGCCCTCCCGGGGTGGCCCTAACAGACCTTTGAACTGCCTTCCTGGACGGGACGTCTTTCTCTCTAGTTCTTCTTCTGTGGGGTCTCTGGGGTTTGTTTGGGTGGTCCCATCTCCCTACTAACACCTGGGTGAGACTTAGGCCACCACTGTGTGCACTGGGATGTCGGCACTACAGGGTGGGGGTTCTGCTTGACGGTTAACCCGTGGGGGGTCTTCTGCAAGGGAGGAATGGAATGATTTCAGAGCTGCCCAGGGCCAGACACCTCCTGTTGGGCTGGGGGTGGACATCACAGTCCTGCTGCCCTGAGAGATGACCAGCTGGGAAGGGCAGTATCCTCAGAGGCCCAGGCTAGAGGCTTATCCTAAAGCAAACGGGGCGGGACGGCCTGTCTCTAGGCACACTAATGAAAACAAAGCTCTGTCCCCTCCTCCTGAAAGTTACTCCCTTTACTCTGGCCCAGTATAGAGAGAAAGTTCTAGAACCCAAGTAAATATTGGCCAAGGGTGTGGCTGATAGGCCACCCCCAGCAACACTGCTCACCCAGTACAGATTCCCCAGCCCCTAAGACCTGAGTCAGGGTCTCTGGAGGCAGGTTCTGAATCCACATGTCAGCCGGCTTCTCAGATGGCCCTAATACCCCGTGTTTGAGGACTATTTCCAACAGGGCAATGGGATGTCATGCTCTGTAGTGGGGGGCAGGTATCTTCTCCCCCAATTCTGCTCAGAGCCAGAGCTTTCCTAGGCTGCTGGGAGAAGGCAAACCTGATAAGCCCACAGTAGCTATGAGCATGCCAAGCATGACATGCCAAGCGCTGGGGGTGGAGATCAAAAAACCACTGCCCTGCAGCGGGGAGTGTGCCCGAGGCACTTTCCCACGGACACACGTGACCAGGAGCAGCTCTGCGAAACCAGTGGCCCTGCCATCATTCCTGCTTCTCCGTGGGGCAGGGCCCTCTGCTTAGCTGCTGGAACTGACCTCTCCCTAGCTAGTGGCACCTGTTCTGACCAAGACCAGCAGGGCGATAATCCTTATTTTTGTTCCTCTTTGCAGCATTAGCAGCAGCAAAGTTGTACCCCGGTTTGAAAGGTTTGGCTTGGGCGTCCTGGAGTCCAGTAACCCAAAGATGTAGCTGGCCATGCAGTTTTTCTGCCGATTTCTTTCTTAAATGTATTTCTAAAATACCCAAACCACCACCAAGACAAAGAAGACACTTTGAAACATCAGCCACTCTCCTAAGCGCTGCAAACCAGGAGTAAAAGACCTAAATTCAGACTATGCCGGGAAAACTTGGGTCCAGGAGCTGGCACCATGTCTGTTTCTTAAAGTGATACCTACAGCAGCCTCTTGTCCCCAAAGACGGAGAATGTTTACCTGTGTGGTTCTGCGGAGGGAACCTGATGCTTTACAGTAGGTAATAATAAAAACAGACGTGTTGAGTGGGATGGTGAAGTGGCCACCTTCCCTGCTCCCCCCAAGAGGACCCTGCAGGTGGTGAGGCCCATTCTGGGCCAGAAGAAAGAGAAGCATTGTGACGTGGCTGTTCTCAGGTGGGTCAGGAGGACCTCAAGCCGGATGTGGCCTGGCCAGACCCCAGATTGGCCCTAAAACCCATCCGTGGGGAATCTCCTGTGTTCTATAAAAGGACTCCTGTCTTCCCTCTCTGGTGGAGGAAACCCAGCTAAGAGCTGGGCTGGATTAGGGGCCTTGGGTTCCCAGAGAGCTTTGGTTCACCTCTGACCCCCATAAACCAACCTGTACTTACTGGGAGACAGAATCCGTGTAACATCTGGAATGATTTTGTTGTTTCACACCTGACTTCCCGCTGCTGGTATAGAAATTGTTTTCAGGAAACCCACAGGAAGGCGCCAAGGAGATGGAACTGAGGGCCCAGGTTTTTAGATACACCCCAGTCCCTGACATTGGCCCCAGAACAAGGCCCAGCCCTGCAGCTGCCTATGCCATGAAGGTTTGATGAGAACAGGAAAGTTAAGGGAGGGAGAAGTAGGGGCTCAGTGGGTCTCTGAACTCCCCCTTCCCAGTCAGAGGGTGACCTGCCCTTTGGGAGCCACCGTCACTATGCAGAGGTCACAGAAGTGCCCACCTCTTCCACCTCACCTTCCCGAAGGATCCTCTGCCCAGGGTGGAGATGTGAGCTAAGATGGGAGATCTATACCCCCAACCCTTTCATTCAGGCTTACCGAGCAGGCCCCTCTATCTTCATAGCCTCCCAAGCACCAAATCAGGCTTTCCTGTGTTCACTGGAACTGTAGGAGGGAGTGGGATTTGGGCCAGTCCATGGTGTGAGAGCATCCTGCCTGTCGTAGAAGCTGCCACTTACAGAGAAAAGTTCCAGATGGCACAGAAGCCCATAAGTAGACATACTGTGCTCTAGAAATGAAAGGACAGAGAGTGCTGAGTGGAGACGAGGTTGAATTCAGACTTAGTCCGGTGGCTGTGCGTTGAGCTATGGTGGGGGGTGAGGAGGATGCAGGTAACTCTCCCACCCAGCAAAGCTCCCCATTCTCAGAGCCTCCTCTAGTCAGAACATCATAGAAGACGGACCACTCTGCCAAAAGCTATGAGGCTGCCTTCCTCTCCCAGAAGCCCCAGAAGCCAGCCCTAAGGACAACTGTGCAGGATGCAAGCTGCCCGGCCTCCCATGAGGCCTGACCCTTCCTGATCACGGTGTGGGGAGGAAGACAGAGGAGCTGCGGCCAGTGGGTCTGCTCTGTGGGGCTCCACTGTGGGACTGTTCTGGTCACCCCATCTACATAACCTCCCCTAGCCAAAGCCTTTTGGTGTGTGACCACCACCTCTGGCTAAGAATAAGTTGGGATCCTGCACAACCACCCACCGCTTTCCAGAGATCACAGTTTGTATCACATTTTTTTTTTTTTTTTGACTTTTGAAAAAAAAAATTATTTATTCATGCATTCAAGAACTGGGTTACAGGTCAGAGGTGTGGGGGATGAGAGGACTCACCAGAGACAGAGTGGGGAGCAGAAGAGGCAGATCTACTGAAATACATTGCTCAGGGGAGCGGTGCGCGAGACAGGAGAGGTCTGCTGCACCATGTGGGTTGCTCCCTGGCCGGGGATTGAACTCGTGTCACAATGGCTGCAGACAGCCCCATAGGTTGCGTCTTAACCCCTTGCGCCAACAGGGAGGCCCTGTATCACATTTTTCCCTCTGAACCATGGACACACCGCTGAACCTGGGGTTGGACAGCAGCCGAGCATGGTGGACTCAACTCTGCCCAGCCGGGGCTACTGACAGCCACAGAAAGTCACCTGGGTTTGTTTCAGGAGTGTCTCTCCTGGTTAGTTCAGGTTTCCTTGGGCACAGGTGGTGTCTTGTGCTAGTGCTGAGGGCCCTGAGGGTGGAGTTGAGGGCCTGGGAGACAGCCCATTCTCCAAGGCTCTGGGCCACCCCCAGGGGCGGGCCTGAGTCTCTACACCACCTGCCATTGGAGAGAGACCCCCAAGGAAAGTGTCCCCACGTGGTGCCCTGCTCCCCCGATTTAAGTGACTGTGAATTGAGGGTAGGTGCACAAGCTTGCCCTTCTGTGTGCTCTCCCCGTCTGCCTTGGAAACACATGAAGGATGGCAGCTACTGTGAATTTAGCCCTCATGGCCAACTGTGAAGTGGTTGGAGAAGGCTGGGAGGGGCTCCTGGATGAGCACTCTGGGGGCTGCAGAGGCCCCACCTCTGAGAGTAGAGCCCAAGCTTTGGCTCCTGAGGGCCCCCTCCCCAGCTCCCAACCTCTTATCCCTGGGCTGTGTCCCCACCGCCTTTAACCCCAGAGCCACAGCACACGTTAACCCCCAACTCCAGGTTTTGAGTTCCCCGTTAGTCGAGGAGCAAAGTTGACCTCTGGTGTCACCAGATTAAAGAGTCTTGTGGGGCCCTGGATCTCTCTGCTCCCTCAAGGAGTCTCTTGTGATCCCAGAAGGGAGGGGCGTGCCCTGTGAGCCTGTGGTGTCTGTACTGATGGGGAGGGGGGCTGTGTGGAGACAGAAATGTGAAGTGGATTAGGAACTTGCTCAGCCTGGATCGCCTCTGTCCAAATCCAGCGTCTTCTGTAGCCACAAGGCACGTTGCTTTTTTGAATGTAAAGTTTGTACAATAAAAGTTTTTATATTTTTTAACAACTTCATTTGCTCTCCAGAAAAATTAATTTAAATTAAAATGGTTAGTATGAATGAATGTGCTGTATTTGTTTTTTCTCGCCACTGGCACTCGCCTCTACCAGACCATGCCGGACGTCTGGAGTTTATATAAACGCATAGCAGGGCTTGTGTCTGTTTGGGTCAGTTTTGGGGGAGTGTGGGGGATGCTCAGATGGGAGGCACGAAAGTAGGAATGGAGGGCTTGGGGGTTTAGTCCCCTCTGCAAGCGCCTTCCAGAGTTAGAGGGCAGTTGGGCATGGGACCGGGAAGGCAGATTGTTCCAAATAAGGATGGACAGAGACAGAAAATCACCAAAGGCACGAAGCACAGAGAAGCCCCTAACACTGACAGCCCGTGAGCAGACCCAGACCCCGTGTCTCTGCTGGAGGTGCCTGTGCCTTCTGGATGCCTTGGGGGTGGGGATGAGGCACTGGTCATCTACACCTTTTTTCTAGGAGCATCCACTGCAGTTGTGTTGAGAGAAGTGCTTTGTGGGTGGGGCAAACAGAGCAGTGGAAGAGGAAGGGCCCCAGTATTTGTGGGGCTCCTGCTCTGAGCCAGGAGGTGCTTTTTCCACATCACCTCACCTAAGTCACATCTCAGAGAGCCAACGCAGCAAAGCAGGAACTGTGAGGTGTCAGCTGAGGGACTGAGGCACTGAGAGGCCAAGGTGAGACACTGCTGAGGGTGGGTAACTCGTGCAGGAGTAACTTGGGCCATGGCCTTGGCTCCAGGCACCCTATCAGAAGTCAGGGAACTTGCTGGCTGGCCGCTCATCCAGCACCTATTGTGTTGCTGAGTGTTGGACTCACATAAAACGGCAGTGCTGCCTTTAGCCATGGACCAGTGAGTGGCCCAAAGAAGGGCTCCCTCAGTCTGCCTGGCAGACTTCATGGAGGAGGTGGACTTGGAGAGGATTTGAAACTTGAGTAATAGGGTGTATATAAGCAAGGGAAGGGCAAACTGCCCCGCAGGGCAGGCACATGCAAAGGCTGAGACCACGTGGTGTGCTTGGGAAACCACAAGTCTAGCTGTCATGAATGGGAAATAGAGTGAATGTGGAGAGGACCCCTTGTGGATCCTCCCCCCAAGAGTTTAGGCTTTAGCATGGTGCCCCCGAGGAGCCATTAAACATTCTTGAGTGGGCGAGGGCCATCATCAGATTTATGTTCTGGGCATCTGGGATGGGCCGGGGTGGGCTTGGCTACAGGTAGGCAAGGTGGAGACTGGGATTTGGGCAAGGAGAGGTGAGCATTCTATTCTGAAGCAAATTTATCCAATTTAAGTAATACTTTAAATTTAAAAAAACGTTAAAAATATACCATATTTTGATTCTTGGAAATTTCATACAATTTCTAGGTTATTCTATTTTATTAATTATATAAATAAAATATAAGGAAGGCTTAGTATTACTTTTTGGGGGGATGACCCTGGCAATTTTTATTCTTTCATCCCTGAACCTCAGTTCCCTCATCAGTAAGATGGAGATAATAATAGTACTTGTTTCATAATAACAAAAATGAACCACATTAATGCAAGCGAAGCACATTTATATATGCCAGCCACACACTAAGCACTCAAGAGGCCAAAGCGCAGGATAATGTGGTTACGAAGGGCCTCAGTTACTACCTGAGCCATTTTTCTAGCTATAAGAAGACCTCGACCCAACCTGTTTATTGTATTAGCCATTGTTAGCAGGTATTTAACCTTTTTGTGAGTATGGAGGTGAGAAAAATCAACCTGCCAATCCTGTCCAGGTAAGTGTCCACGCAGTTGGTGAGCCGCCAAAGAAGAAGGTGGGCGAAGTCCCCCTTGAGGTGACATGCGAGCACGGGTTTGATGACGGGAAGATATCTGCCCGACTTTTTTTTTTATTATTATTTATTTATTTATTTATTTATTTATACATACAAGCACTGGGTACAATCAGAAGTGTGGGAGGGTGAGAGAATTCACCAGAGCCAGAGCGGAGAACAGAACAGTCAAACTGACGAAGTACACTACTGAGGGGAGCAGTGGGCGGCAGGAGAGGTCTGTGTGCCATGTGGGACCCTCGCCGGCGGCCAGGGATCGAACCAGCGCTGCAGAGGCTGTGGGCAGCTTGGCAGCCCAGTGCTCAACCACTGCGCCACCAGGGGAGGCCCAATCTGCCAGATTTTTGCACTCAAGGAGGAGTGGAAGAAGAGTGGATTCAGGAATTGGCGTTCATTAGGCTCTTAAGTCAGAGTGATGGAGGGGACAGATAGAGAGAGAATAGGGGCAGAGTCTGCAGCAGAGTCAGTTGTGGGAGCCCTTGCCGCTGCATCAGCCATGTTACCTGTGGTAACATAAGAATTGTCAGTTGGTGTCCTTTACAGTGCATAATGGCGACTTCAGTTGGAAGCTGCAAGGCCGCTAGAAGCTTAAGGATACGTTTAGCATTAATGATGGGGGACCCCTTGGTGGAAAGGAACCCCCTTTCCTGCCAAATCGCAGCATGACTGTGAGCCATAAGGAAGGCGTATTTTGAATCCGAATAGATGCTGACTTTGTTATGTTTGCTGAGGGTCAGGGCCCCAGTAAGTGCTGAGTTTTGCCTTTTGGGAGGTGGTTCCTCTGGGCAGCTCTCCTGCCTCGATTACCTGATGCACAATGGCCTAGGCAGCCCTTCGCTGACCTTGCGCATCTTCGCAAGAGCTGCCAGTCTACAAACACAGTAGGCATCTGACAAAGGGGAGTCAGTTAAACGCAGTCTGGAGGTTTGCATTTTTTTCCCAGAATTTCAGGACCCGAATGAGCGGCAGAAGGGGGTCAGAGACAGGCAGAAGAGTGGCCGAGTGGAGAGAATTAGACTGAGTGAGACTCACCAGAGGGTTTTTGATAAAGAGCACATGGAAATCCTGTAAAGGGGAAGGAGCAAGAGTGGAGCGCGAGCGGTGAGACAGGAAGGCCTGAATGTGCTTGGATGGGTCTTTCCAGAGTAAGTTTGAGGGACTCCCAGGTGAGTAGAGCTGCTGCCACCAGGGCTCTCAGGCAAGGTTGCCAGCCCCTAATGGTGGGATCCTTCTGCTTGGAGAGATAAGCGATAGGACGCAGGGCTGGCCCGAGAGGCTGGGAAAGGCCGCCTGCCGCCATACCCCAATGTTCATCTGTGAACAGGAGCAAAGGCTTTTCTGGATGAGGAAGGGCAAGGGCAGGTGCCTTAAGGAGGATATGTGTGAGTAAAAGGAAGGCCCTGCGGACCTCCCAGGGGGATTGGAGACTCCTTCGGGGGAGGCTTTTGCTGCATCAGTGGCTTGGCTGGGAAAGCAAAATTAGGGGTCCAATGACGGAAGAATCCGACCAAACCTAGGAAGGAAAGGATTTGTTCTGCCGATTCAGCGGAGGGAAGGTCCCGGATGGCCTGTTTGCGGTCCACCGTCAGCTGTTTGGAGGAAGGAGTTAGTGGAAGACCCAGATAGACGGCTGTGGGAACTGAAAGTTGGGCTTTGGATGGGGAGACATGGTATCCTTTGGAGCATAGGAAGTTGAGGAGTCGTGCAGTGTGCTGCTGAGATTGTGGCAGATAAGGACTGCAGAGGAGGAGGCCAGCAACACACTGGAGGAGAGAGCTGGGTGGAGTATGACATGACGAGAGATCACAGCTAATGCCCGACCAAACAAATGAGGGCTGTCCCGGAAGCCCTGAGGCAGGACTGTCCAGGCCAGTTGCTGGGACGTGTGTGTGTCCGGATTTTCCCAAGTAAAAGCAAAAGGAAATAAACTTGAGGATCCAGAGGGATGGTAAAAAAAAAAAAAAACATCTTTGAGGTGAAGTACAGAGAAGCGTGTGGTAGAAGACAGTATATGAGATAGAAGGGTGAAGGGGTTTGGCACTACGGGATGGGTAGGCACCACTGCTTCGTTAATGAGGTGAAGGTCTTGAACTAGGCAATTAGAACCATTGGAGAGAATGGGAGTATTATAGGGCGGGTTGATAGGAGTAAGGAATCCCTTTCCCAGGAGTCGGATGATGGGTTTTGAGACCCTGACGGTGAGTGAGGGAAATTGGAAACTGGGGGCGAGAGGGAAAAGAAGGATCCTTAAGGCGAATGACTGGGGTATGAGGGTGACAACAATCAGGATAGAGATATTATAGACCATGGGGTTGACAGTGGAAGGAGACAGCAGGGAGTCCTGAGGAGGATTAGGAGATGTTTGGAGCAGTGGGAGGATGAGAGCAGTGCTAGGGTCTTAGAACCACGAGAGAGTAGCCCCGAGTTTGGTCAGGAGGTCGTGACCCAGGAGTGGTGTGGGGCAAGAAGGCATGACTAGGAAGGGCTTGTTAAGCTGACATTGAAGAGGTCTAGTGGTCCTGGGCTGAGAAGGAAGGCCGTCAACACCTGTTTGGAGGAAGGAGTTAGTGGAAGACCCAGATAGACGGCTATGGGAACTGAAAGTTGGGCTTTGGATGGGGAGACACGGTATCCTTTGGAGCATAGGAAGTTGAGGAGTCGTGACCTGAGAAGGATAAGCTTGACCGGAATAGGAGGGAAGGACAGAGAAGGTAGCCCCCGTGTCAACCAGAAAGGAGATGGACTTACCCACTACCTTGACCATTACCATGGGCTCCTTGAAGGTTATTGGAGTCGATGAGTCCGGGCCTCTTCAATCCTCAGCCGCCAAACCCAAGACCACCGGTGACAAGAGTGGCAGGGGCTGGAAGTGTAACAGGGTGGTCCCCAGGAAAGGGGGAGGTTCCCTGCCCCACCCAAGGGAGGGTGGAGCTGAGCAGGAAGAGGAGGAGCTGCAGAAGAGACTGAGGAAGGAAGCAGGATGGAGCCAGGAGACCTGGAGGAGGCGCGTGGAGCCTAGAGACACGTGAAGAAACTGCGCTTGTCTTTTGGTCGTGGACTGGGTGACACAGATGTGGGTGAGACCCGTGGGGAGGTGACAATGGCAGCTTTTATCTTGATGTTGATTTTGCTCTTTTCCCTCCGGGCTTGTCTGGTTGTTTGTGACCCTTTGCTGTGGGTCCCCACTGGAAGATGCTTTAGACTTGTGGCAGGCTTTGGGGCCTTGTTCTGGGCCAATCCCATTTGGATGGACTTTTACCCATGAGGGGATGGGTAACTCTGGATGCTTCATTTAGAAACTAGACTCTTTGCCTTACCTGTGTTGTTTCCTAGTTTTATTAAAGTTCCTTCCCATTAAAGTCTCCTATGTTTTGTGTTGATGCGGCGGATGGCAGAACCCATGTAGAATAGGCAGGTTTGCGGGGTTTGGGCTGCCCCTCTCCCTGTCCTATAACAGAAGGACTGGCCCACCACAGCCAGGTGTGGAGGGACGGTCACTTTTCCAGTGACCCTGGACGTTGCAGATGGGGCACGGTCCTGGCAGAGGGTGGGGTTGGGGCATTGTCTGGACCAATGGCCTTCTCGGCCATATTTGAAGCAGGCTCTG